CTACGGAGATCCCCAGTGACTTCATTGCTCAGACAATGGAAGCCGCAGCAGCCGCAGTGCCTGAGGCGCCCGAAGAGGAGCAGGAAGCCATGGAGGTAGAGACCGTTGCGGAACCTGAAGAAATCCCAGAACCATCTGTCATCGCGGAAGACGATCCAGAACAGGAACCTGATGAAGAAATGGACATAGAGCCTGGAGAGGACTTTGATGACGCAGTTCCAGAAGCAATTGCACAGGAACGTCGTCCCGTCTTCGTTACCGGCCAGTCTTTGAACATCGATCCTGAGCTACAACTTGCACGTACCGCCATGCAGCCATCTTACTATTCTGGAAAGCGAAATGCCCATTGCATTGACGCGAACATGACCGCTCTTTCGTACATGGCATACGTGGTATGCAGATCCATCTACAAGGCTTGGTCAGGATTCGCAAAGTGGGCGACTATGCCGTTGTTTCAGATGAGGGAAAGTTTCGCACTTGGCCAACGCTATGATGTGCTTGGAAAGTGGGGATCTTTGGCGGCAGTGGATAGGGAAACGGGTGTGAGCAAGGATGTGACTGATGAGGAGATCATTCGCTTTGCCAAGGAACCTGAGAACCTCAAGCAGTATGATCCCAACGGGACTTACACCTTGAAGCGCTTCCGGACGAACCAGATGCTTTCTTTACTTACACGGGGAGCCAACATGATGGGAATTGGCAGGGACAACTTCAACCCTACTACTTACTTGAAGAGCGAAAGGGATGAAGATGTGAAGGCTATGCATTTTTGTTGCCTGAACGTCCTGTGCGAGGTGATTCCAATGGTGACGGGACACCAACAATTCTCAGTGCTACGACCAACGCCAACTGGACCAGTGGACTTCTTGTACATCGACCCCGTCGGTATCTGCTGACTCATTCTGATCAGTCAGTCCAGACCATCGGCTTGCTGGTGGACCACAGTGTGCAAATGCCTGCGCATTTCATGGACAGATTGAACAGATCCAAGGCTGAGAGACAGCAAAACCCGACGACCAAGCGTACGGAAGCCCTACACCACATTTCGGCTGCTGACTATCTTCCTCCAGGTGGTACATCCATCCTGGACACGCCTGTCACTACGGAGGAACGTGAAAGCGCTTCTTCATCCAAGGGACCTTCAAAAGGGCGTGGAAGAACCGGAGGTGAGCAACATGGAGGCTGGAACTCCAACTCCTACTACGACTACACCGCCGGCAAGGGCCGAAACAAAGGCAAGGACAAGGGAAAGCATCGGGAACAGTATCCAGAGGAAACCTCCGGCCCTGGGACCGCGATCCTGCGACCACGCGAAGATGGAGGTGAATCAACGCTTGGTCTTCCTCGCCTATCAGTTCGTGACCTCTGAGCTTCGCCCATGGAATGCCATCGCGAATGCTTCTTTCTTCGGTGACGCCTGATTCGTTTGTCATTTCAGGGGATCGTTACTGACGTAGATGAGTGTCACAACGTTTCTAATTGGGATGCAAAGCTCTGATTTTCAATGTCAACGTTGCGACGGAACTTTTTTTGTTGTCCTATCGTGCCATCTTCCGGGTGAGCAGCGTCGGAGACGCAACTCATGGGGGGTGCGAACGGACTGCGATGCCTTGTCAAGTTCTAAGGTGTCACTATAAGAGCTGTGAGCAAGACCGTGTAAAGTGCAAGAGAAGGGGGCACGCTACGCGTCCCTCGACTCTAGGGGGCATGCTACGCATCCCTCATCTTTACCTTTCTATGTGACCGCCAACGCAACGTTTGGCTCAAGTCAATGCCCATAGCTAAGTGCTATATGTGTCTTCTATCCTGAGCAATCAGAGCTATCCCGTTGCACAGACGAACCGCCGCCGGCAGTGAGTGCAAAAGGAACGGCCGCCGGTTCTGCCTGCATAGGATCGCACGTGTGGAAGTAAGAGGGAGAGACAGGGTCCAGTCTGTGGAGAGTGCTAGCCAGCCACACCTACATTCATTACAGCTCTGGTGGGGAGAGCAGCAACCAAGTCGAGATCAATCCCCCACGCATAGTCAGTCGTAGTAATAGTAGTAGTAGTAGTAGTAGTAGTAGTAGTAGTAGTAGTAGTAGTAGTAGTAGTAGTAGTAGTAGTAATAGTAGAAGTAGTAGTAGAAGTAGTAGTAGTAGTAGTAGTAGTAGTAGTAGTAGTAGTAGTAGGAGTAGGAGTAGGAGTAGGAGTAGGAGTAGGAGTACGGGTAGTAGGAGTAGTAGGAGTAGTAGGAGTAGTAGGAGTAGTAGGAGTAGTAGGAGTAGTAGGAGTAGTAGGAGTAGTAGGAGTAGGAGTAGTAGTAGTAGTAGTAGTGGTGGTAGCGGTAGCGGTAGCGGTAGTGGTAGTGGTAGTGGTAGTGGTAGTGGTAGTGGTAGTGGTAGTGGTAGTGGTGGTGGTAGTGGTAGTGGTAGTGGTAGCAGGAGTAGCAGTAGCAGGAGCAGCAGTCGGTAGTGGTAGTGGTAGTGGTAGTGGTTTAGTAGTAGTAGTAGTAGTCGTCGTCGTCGTCGTGGTAGTAGTACTAGTAGCAGCCGGTGAGCAGTGGTAGTAGCAGCAGTGGCGATAGTAGTAGCGGTAGGAGTACAGGTAGGAGTACTGTTGGCTTCGCAGCACTCATGAGATTGGCTGTGCGTTGAATGGGTGTTCGTCAGCACAGGTCGAGTCGATGATCGAAGCACCGGTACCAACAAGAGCCGAAGTTTCGGACTTGTGCTGGGGCCCGAGATTAGGGTGCTTAGAGCTTAGACTGAGTCGACCAAGGCCTCGCACAACAGGTGACTGTTGGGCATGATCCGCAGCTTTCGAAAGGAGGTTTCACACCAACAGCGAAGAAATGGTATACGGGTCGTTGAATAGTACGACGTCGGCTTGAGTTTCCGGATCATTGTGCCATATTGGTGCGAAAACGGCATATCAGAACCAGACCTTCCATCTCCTAGGGGTGTCCGTCCGTCCGGGCCGGGATTGAGAAGTCCAAAGTCTGGATCGGCCGAGGCAATGCCGTTTGGGACGGCACCGATGCGGTGATGCTCTCCGGAGAGGTCCGCACATGTGACACACGGGAAGCAGGGGGGTCTTGCTCGAGATTTCGGGCAGCCACGTTTCGGAGCTGTCGAATCTTTGCTGGAGTCTCGAGGAGCCTTACTAGTATTTCCTGGAGGGTCCGTTTGATTCTTTCCAGCCTTTGGCGACGAAGCAGTTCAATCCCAGCAGGCAGCAAGCGGCAAATACCCCTTGGAAGCTGCCCCTCGACATTGAAGATGCGCATCTTTATGTTTCGATGTTTAGTGATCTCTGACTGCCTTTTTTCTGCGAGGACAGGTTTTTTCCGCCGTGGTTTTGTAAGGCTGCAAGCGCTCGAAGTGCACATGAGACATGAGGTCATGGCAGAGGCATCCGCGGCCCGGGAAGCGGAATCCGTGGCTCGGCAGAGTGCAGCACCTGCGTCGGCTTTATATAAAGGAGTCTTCGGAACTCTCTAGCTCAGATCTCGAAGCCACGAAAAAGCCAGCACCCGCCGAGGTGGAGCATCGAATTTTCCCGGCTGCCTGACTGAATTTCCGTTTCAGTGGTCCAGGGCTGGCATGACGGGTAAGTGGGATGCTTTAGGAAACTTTAGGTAGACACAGCCCTTTTCTCAGGTTTCGAGCCTAGGTTTAACAACAGTTTTTCAGAGCCGTTAGCCCTTCTCCAAACACCAATGTAAAAGAATCAGCAACTGCAAGGCCGCCCCGAATGTGATCTGAGATGATCTGAGCGATGGCGGTCATGATGACCTGCCCTAAGGGCAGAGTCATGCATGTTTAGGGCCGATAGAAGCCTTTAGGTCCGAGTCCGGAATACCAGTGCCGAAGAGGTTTTCGGATCAGAGCGTGACAAGGGTGTTGCCACTGCTATCTCATGCCGAATCACACAATAATGCCCCGAGCGATGCCCTGTGACGATGTAGAGTTGAGTTCTGAGTAATCCCGGTTGATTGTATGCTGGGAGGCCTTTATTTCGGGGTCCGTGCCAGATCTACAGTAGTGGGTTGGGCGAACTTTGGAGGTCTACTTGTGAGTTTTGTGAGCGGAACTTGTTTTGCAATTGAGCGCCGGCTGTAATGCAGAACCTGCTGGCAGCGGATCGAAACTTCTAGGTCTCGCCCCGCACATACCCCCGAGAAGCCAGAGCAGGCTTGAACAAATCAGGCTTTGAAAGACGACACGGTTGGACTCAGACTGAGAATAGTTTTTTCGTTTCACGAGATCACTGTGTGCGGATAGCCTGCACGCACTGAGCTTGGACCCGCCCCTGCCCAATGGCAGAGCATGATAGAGCAGATTGCTCGCAGGTGGCCAAAAGCGAGTCATGGGAACGACCATCGTTGCCAGCGCAAATGGCAAGACCCAGGGTGCATAGCTGTAACGAGTTGCTGTCCATCAGGAAATGAATCATCTATACCTGTGTGCATATGCCATTTTCTATTCTTGATAAGTCTTCTGGATACAGTTACGTGGAATGTGGATTGCATTGTTGCAGCAAGTGGGATTAACTGATCTTATGCTTGGTGTGATAGATAGGTAGGATCATAAATCGTATTTGTATTGATCTTAGGTATTTCATGTGTATATGTGTGTAGATGCACGCACAGACACACGGAAGCAGAGCTGGAGCTGCTCTCTCTCTCTCTCTCTCTCTCTCTTGCTCTCCCTCACTCTCTCTCTCCTCTCTCTCCTCTCTCTCCTCTCTCTCCTCACTCTCTCTCTCTCCTCACTCTCTCTCTCTCTCTCTCCATTTGTCCATCTATCTCTCTATCTGTCTGTCGATCTATCTGTCTACCTCTCCGCCTGTATGTCTATCTGTAGATAGGTCAACAGATAGATACAAATTACCGCCCGCATTTTTGTGCGTGTTCTTGGTCATGCACACTGCGGGCCTTGCGCTCTGCTCAGGTGGGCACTGGTACATTGTTTTCCCACGAGGTGTCCCCGGCTCCCCTCACCTCCGGTTCTTTTGGCCATGTCGTTGGAGTCGGACCTCAAGGCCCCTGCCGAAGCTCGGTCCCTCTATCTGTAGCGCACAACTTGACGAATTGAAGCTTGCATTCTGCTTGAAGAGCTACAGAAGGAAGCAATTTCCAGCCACCAAGGACGACAACTTCAACAAGCGGGATGGGAGACCCTGCTGCGATTAGTTGGCTGGCAGGGATCGGTACTGCGAGGAGCTTGAAGCAAGCCGGCACGCGTACTTGGTGTGGCGTCGCTGCCAGAACGCACTACATTCCAACTGCCGGAGCCCTAAGCCCGAAGCCACCATCACGAGGCCCTTTAGGGGCAGCTCCATGCGAGTGGCCAAGCCCACAACGCCGGCCCCTGGCTGCTTCTCCTGCTTTACCATGCGGGCGAAGCCCAAGGAGCGAGAGGCCCCTGGGATGCCTTTCTGAAGTTGGGGCTTTCCCGTATATATATATATATATATATATATATACATATATATAATATTAATATATATATATATATCTCTCTCTCTCTCTCTCTCTCTCTCTCTCTACACACACGTGTGTGTATGTGTATATATATACATATGTGTATATATATATATATATATATATATATATGTATATATATATACATATGTATATATATATATATATGTATATATATATATATATATATATATATATTATACATACACATACACATAGATGGGATACGGGATGCAAGCGCCGGATGCAGGGTCTTTTTGGCCATGGTAGAGTTGCAAGGGATTACAGCGAGACCTGGCTTTTGAATGCTTTGGCACTCCGGCGTGGATTCACAACTCCTCACCGGTCGAAAATGTAGCAGGCAAGGAGCATTGAAAACAGAGCTGCTATTATCATCGAATCTAATCTGAATCTCGTCTGAAGGCCTGTGCACAGAGAGATTTGCAAATTATGTCGTGTGGGATTCAACGTAAGGGTTGTTTGAACGGTTTCCGCGCAACGAGGTGGATGTCATCCTCATTGGTGCAGGAGTCATGAGCGCGACGGTGGGTTTGATGCTGAAGGCACGCAGCTCATCTCCATGCGATCTCCGGATGTCAGGGTGCTATCTAGTAGCTGAAGCTGTTCAGAGAGTAGTACTCATACTCTTGAGAGCTCCAGGAGCTGGAGCCCGAGTGGAAGATGATGATGTTTGAACGCCTCGGCGCACCGGGGGAGGAGAGCTCCAACGGCTTCAACAACGCAGGCTGGGAGAAGATGTGCCATGCGCGCTAGTGAAAGTAGGTCAGTGTGCAGGTACTGGACATGCCGGATTCATGGAGCCTAACTACACGAAGGAAGTCAAGAACAGCGACGGAAGCCTGAAGACAGTCACCACCGAGCCATGATCGCAATGTAGGGGCAGCTTTTGCCTTTCCGAAGCTTGACTGGGAGCCGAGGACAAAGTCGAGCATGTGTGCGAGCAGTTCCTGAGCAGCCGCCAATACTGGGAGTACTTGACTCGAAAAGGTCTGCTGCCGTCACCCGACTCCTGGATCCACCAGACGAACCACATCGCACTTGGTGTGGGCAAGGATCAGGTGGAGTTCATCAAGAAGCGCTACGAAGCCATGAAGGCCCCCTCCCCCCCGCTTCCAGCAGTTTTTGCATACTCGTCTTTGCAGATGCAGTTGAAGAGGGCGATGAACAGGGTCGTTAAGCCAAGACTTCCATTCTTCGAGACATGCCCTTGGACACTCCATCAGCTTGAGCTCCTGAAGCACATTGGGAATCTGAAATAAAGACTGCCACTGAAGTGACAGTCGAAATGGTCATGATGCAGCAATGATGCCACACGTTCATGCGGGTGGGTTTTGCACCCTGCGGACCAGTTGCTTGGTGACTGTCAGCATCGCAGCGATGAATGGTGTCGTGTGGGCAAAGCTTTGTCTGGAGGACAACCCCCTTTTCAAGAGCATGGAGATCTGCCTCCCAGAGGAGAAGGAGCCGTCACAACAAACACTTCCGGTCTAACCTCTAACCTTAGACTAGACTCTACTACACCAACAGTTTTGCCAAGGAGCCAAGTGCAAGCTTCCCAAGTCGACTAGGGATAGTTTTGAAGCCTGTGGCAAGAGTTTGCCGTCATGATGTGGCTGCATGTCATGACTCAACTCAAGCAAGATCAAAAGATCAACTGATTCTCGATGCTTCCTGTTTTTGATGACCGTGTGCATGTGTGAGTGCAATTGTTTGTGCAGGCGAAGGCCAAGGAATGGGCTCCGCTTATCATGAAGGGCCGTGATCCCAGCGAGCCTATTTGCATGACGAAGGCCTGTCACTTGGACGGTGTGACATTTCTGATGCTGGAGCGATCCCGAACATCCACATTTCACAGCTCTGAGCATTATGTTGCAGTTTGCGCAGGTTGTGGGATGTTTCTGAGTGGAAGGTTAGAGGGGTTAGAAGCGCATAGGTAGACTCACCGTAGGATGAAGCTCGCGCAGGTGCCTCATGGAACGGACGTGGACTACGGTGCTTTGACGAAGGCTCGTTTTGAACAGTCATGACAATACCTTTTTTTGCCATACGTTGCCCGAAGGCCAAGATCGTGGCCTTCCAGGAGCTTGGTGCCGGAGCGGCAAGATACGACAGCTGCTGACAAGTGTCCTGAGAAGGGGAATCGGGCCTATACTGTATGTGTTCTTGAGAAACCTGTCCATGCTCCTCTAGCTCAATAGCTTCTCTCTAAAGGCTGTAAGGCATTGCCCCACGACGCCACTTCGTTTGACACCCCGCCTACATCACCCAGCTGTGAGCGTCAAAATCCCTGCTTGGAGGTCCAGCAGCAGCATAAGTCGCAGGGGCATATATTCTATGAATATCTATGATACGCATCGTAACTTGGGTGGCCAGTATTCCATGATGCTTCTTGTTATGGGCTGAAGATCCGAAATCTGAGGTGGCGACCTTCGTTTGCACACTGAGGCAGGTCAGCTCCAAATCTCGACTGAATAGTTTTTCCAAGCCTGAGTACGGTTTCCACAGATTGTAGAACCATTGTAGAATGTAGAATGCCTACAGTCTACAGCAGGTAAACAGAACATGCTTGAATAGAGTCTGATTGGCCGTAGTACTTAAAGTGGCTCAAGAGGCTATCCTCAACACAAGGCCAAATGGCATGGATAGGAGGCCCGAAGCGGCGTGGGCCGCTGCAGCCGGCATGGAGCACCAGCAACAGAACCAAGAAGAAGGACGCAGCAGATCGTTTTTTTGACGACTTGGTATCAGGCACGTGGCTCCCGCCTAAACCCGGCGTTGAACAGCTCACACCAGAGAAGGCAGACAAGGCTGTTCTAACAGTCAAGGAGAAGGTTTGGGCCTTGAAGAAGACTTCCAAATGGAAGAAAAAAGGATGGAATGAGGTTTTCCAAGCATGCTGCAAACTTGATCCAGCAGAGAAGTTTGGCCGAGATCTGGTGCGGAAGGCATTCACCATCGTCATCGGGTCCCAGTTTGCTCGAGAGGCCGTAGAGGATTTGGTCAGCATGGCGGTCCCGAACGAGGCGCGCGGTCTCAGCTATCAGGAATTCAAGAAATGGTTCGGCCCGACAAAACTGGACATGGAAGAAGAATGGACAAAAGCCAAGAAGAATGAGGGCCAGGAGAAGCCTCGGGAAGCACAGGACAAAGTCTCGGGGTGGTGGCAAAGCGAAGGCTGGTACGACTCTGGATCCTGGAGCTGGAGGGGCGGCTGGGACAATGACTGGAAAGATTGGGATTGGGGGCAGAGCACAAGCAACAGAGCGAAGAACAAGGCCGAGGGAGATGGCTTTGTTGAGGATTGGGGAGGAGGATGGGCTGCGGCTTCCGGGGAAAGCACTACACCAGCGAATGAGAGGTGGTGCGACCAGGTCACCGAGGCACCCCTGGGCCCCCAGCCTGACGGCGCACGTCAGGTGGAAAAAAGAGACGAGGTTGCAATCTTTCAAGAACTGGTGAAGGCCGTGCAAGAGCAGCGCCGACAGGAGCAGTTGAAACGACACAACGAAGCTGTGGAGGCAGCCGAGTCCAAGGTCAGAAACGTGCAACGCCGTCGCGAAGAAGTGCTGGGGCAGCAACAACAGGAGCAACTGAACTGCCAGACGGAGCTGAAGCGTTTGGACGACGAGTTAGCAGCGCTTCAAGCCACAAAGGCTTGGTTGGCTCGCGAACCGGTATTACCGAAGTGCATAGCATGCTGCGACAGTCCTGCGGACCAGATCTTTATTCCGTGTGGACATGTCCAGTTTTGCAAGCGCTGTGCTATCACGCACATGAAGACACGAAACGAGACGCGTGAGAATGCATCGAGGGTACATTGCCCATCATGCCGAGAAGTGATTTCCCACCACCGGACCGTGAGGCTAGGCCATTTTTAAATACCTGGCACGGAGCCAGTGACTCCCAATACCCTACCCCAGCGATCTGTCTGAGTATACAACCTTGGAGTCCAGTGAGTTGTGCTGTTTCGACGCAGGGGATTCCAAGGAGAGGTTTCGTTGGAGAGCACAGTCACTTTATGTGTTCTAGGTTTTGTTGCTGACATGTCGTGACGGAGCCTCTTAGTGATGTTTCACTTTGCAGACGCGAACTCATATGCCTCGCCTGGATTGTCCGAGTGTGAGCGCCGAAAGTGCAAGTTGCAGTGATCACGGGCTTGTATCCGTCCCGAAGCTGCAAAGTGATGTGATGCTCGTCTGCAAAGTCGCGGGAGGAGGGTTCTGTGACTTCGTCGCATTGGGGTTGCCAGGTTACATGTCTTGACAAGAATCTGTGTGCGAGCAGGTGAAGGACCTGAAGAAGGGCTCCGACGGCAAGTGGACTGTGACCACCTGTGTGAATGGAGCAGGTGCCGTGCGGGTTTTTTGAATCTGTACGAGCTGCCTCCCTGGAGCTTCCCGCAGGCTCTGGGTGGGCCTACAACAAGGCACGGAAGGGGTGCAATGTGCTGAATGCTCGATGCTCCCGGAGTTGAGTCATTGAGGGTGCATTTCGCGTCCGAGGCCAAGTTCGTCTTCGTGGGAGCCGGTGGTTGGGCGCTGCTGATGCTTCAGAAAGCTGGCATCCCGGAGGTGCCGGTCCCCTGTCAAGTCCTGCAGTACAGTACAGGTCCCATCATGGATCAATCGACAGCGGTCGTCAGAAGAAACCTGTGTCATCAGCACGGCAGAGTCTTCGACATGTTCGGAAGCCTTCTTCCGGCAGGTGAATGGCTACATGGCCCTGCCAGTGACAGGTGATTGGGCGGTTTGCCAGAACCCCGAGGTGGTGGCCCAACACAAGGCGTCGCAGTGCAGTTCGGACTTCATGAAGGGCGGCATAAGTCGTAGCCTTTGGGTTCACCGTGGGCATCGCGCCAAATCTCCGGTTGTGACACCAGGTGAAAGTGTACGCCCCGGGTGCTCCGGGCGCTCCGCCCATGTCCATGCCCCACCTGGACTACCGCACCATCGGTGGCAAGGATCTCTCCAGGGTCTTGGATCGTAGGCCTCGGAAAGCTCCTTGCATCGGTGCAGCTTGATAACATGCTAGGTTCTTCACCCTTGCTCGTCACATTGCTGCTGCTGCTGCTGCTGCTGCTGCTGCTGCTGGTGTCGCCATTGGTGTCGCCATTCCGATCCGTCGGAGTCTCCATGCTGTTGCCACGGGCATGCGAAAGCTGTCACTAGATTTCAGCTAAGACAGCAAGTACCATGGCATCGCTTGAGCGCATGCTCGCAACTACCATGAGCACCCGGCGATGCTGCAGGAGATGCTTCTGTTTGGACCCTTCGGTGCCTTGGCTGCGCCACTGCCTTCGAAGCTCGCAGCAGCTTGCACGTGCTCTCAAAGCATCAAAACCGGAGGCTCCATGACGATGAAGTTCCTGCGATATGGCTCCGTGTTGGATGCTTTCAAAGCGCTGAAGCCTCACAACATTCTGCCAACCATCGGGGCATTGTCAAAGAATCTGAGCCTTGCAGTGATGCTCATGCAGCTTGGCGACTGTTGGGAAGGGCTTTTCCAGCTTCACTTTTCAACCTATATACGTGACGACTTGCCACTAGCCATTTCATATTGTTGGTAGGACCTACCAATAGTAGGATCCACCTCCGTTAGAACATGAAGATCTCTGCAAACGCCATGTCATAAAATCGCCCCCAATGCTGCAGGACAGACGTGTTCAAGTCTGGAGCCGGCAAGCTCCACGACATCCGACACTACTACCCGGAGGCCCGGAAGGAACTTGCAAGGCTTACGCGTTCGAATCGAGTCCTGAGCGCTGTGGGAGGCCGATCCTGACGATTGGGTCTTCATCCCAGCGGGTGTCCGGGCTCAGATTATCAAGAAGGATCCGAAGACCGGCAAGGGCATGCTGCAGTTCGGCACGGAGGCCGGACACTAGTGTTCTCGCTTGCAGGTGCGTTAGACTTGTATGTGTATGTAAGTATTTGCAACTGTGCATTCATTCTTTTGCTCAGTTGAGTCATGGCGCAGACAAACTCGCTGCTTCTGTATGGCTTTTCGGATGTGGATTTGGTTACTGATGCATTGCCGGGGTCATGATTTATCCTCGCCTCGTCGCGACCATGATGACACATGCTTGCGTGTGTCTTTGGTCTGTGTTACGTAAGTCATGCAGAACCGGTCCCTGCGGACACGACCAGTAGAACTGAGCCTGGCATCGCAGGTCGTGTCCAACAAGGAGGGCACCATTGTTGGTCTCCTCGGCGCATCTCCAGGCAGGCTATCTCTTCAATGATTCAAGCGAGGGACGGACGGCCGGAATCGCAGGGGGCATCATCCGGGCAGCACCGCTTGACCATGACACGATGTTATCGCATGCCCTTTCGGAAGGGCCCACACGAATACACAAGAATAGATGGCAAGACGAGCCAAGGAAACCCTGTTGAAGGGCATAGCAGCCCAACTTCGCGTAGCAGTGGTTTCAACCCGACAGGGCAAAGACAAAACCGTTTGGCAGCGCAGCGAGCTTGAATTGAAGTTCTGAGAGTGGCTGAGAGTCGTGTCTAACACAGGTTCGAGTAACTCTCGGGTGAGTGCTGCAGGTTTCTGACGTGTTTGCTTGTTGCTGACAGTGATGGGTCCCGTGCACTTCCATACAAGTTCACCTCGCCTGGATCTCGAATGAGTGTTGAGAATTCTGCCGTGGCCCGTGCGTCATGGCGGGCGCCATTGCCAAATGGATTCTTCCCGGTCCTGTAGACTGAGTCACACATGAGTTTTCCATGCTTGACAGGCCGTGCAAACCCAAACCTCTTTGTGTCTTGCGTGAGTCGTGGTGTCACGTCGAGGGCAATGTGTCTTTACATGTTCTTCAACGGTTCTGTTCGTATGTACCTGCAGGTGCGTCAACTTGCGTCTCCATCGCTTTGGACGTGATCCAGAAATGCTTCGGCCAGAGGCTTGGAGGCAAGAAGTAGCAGTTTTATCTATGAGTGGCAAGCTAAGAGTCTCCCCCCGCAAAAAATCTACGAATGAGCCATCCTTTTGTCAATGTCTGAGTTCCGGACAGTAGGGTCTACGATGGCCTTTTTCGCTGGAGGACCAGGATCCTAGTAAGCAGTGTCACCGGTCTGGCTCTGCAATTCGTTGTAGCACAGTTCATCAGAAAGCCATGCGGGGTTAAAGGAGGAAGGGGTCAGGTCTCATCCAGAAGCCCCAAACACGGCTCCGTCCCCTCAATGCCTGAGGAAGCCCGAGTTCCAGAAGTGGGTGCCGAAGCTGAAGGCCACTTTATGCCGTGCGCGCCGCTCGCGAATTCTGCAGCTGCACTGCAGCAATGGCAATAGCTAACAGCTGGCATTGCTGCCGCAGGGACTTCTGTAAGATCTCGGCTTGTAATAGAAGATGGGGCGAATCGTGATAGAGACACTAGTTTTCCCACGCCCGATCCGGAGCATCAACGACCAATGCAGGCCATGATTCCCAGCTTCTCTGCCGATGTGGCAGCAGGGGACATGAAGAAGGTCACACTGGACGCAACTTGCCAAACACAGGAGAAAGAACCAGCGGACAGTAGCTTCCTCACGTAGGAGGGACAAAAACCCACAAGATCAGCTAAGTTCAAACCGTTCGGGCAACAATTGAGAGTATGTCCGGCTTAACACCGACGATCGACAAAGTAAAATTGTGATTTCCCAGGTTGTTAACAAGATCTACACCGAGACGGGCGCCACGTTGAAGGTTTTGCCAAAGCACGCGTGAGATCACGTTCCATCAGATTTTCCGCAGCAGAGCAGCGACAATCCAGGTCTGAAGCCCCTTACCGTGATGCATCGGCATATTCCTTTAACCACGACTTCAATCACATCTGCGTCCGTATTCATCTGTGTCGTCCTCCCTCTCTACCCCTTCTCTCCCCCTCTCCCTGACCCCCTCTCTCCCTCCCTCCCGTTCCCTCTCCCACTCTCAATCACTCTCACTCTCACCCGCACCCTCACGCTCTCCCTCTCAACCCGTCTCAGTCTCCCTCTTCTTCTCTCTTTTTCTCTCTCTACGTCGGTCTCCTCCGTGTCTAGATGTGTCTGTCCAGAGCTGCGTACAGACGTGTATCAGATAAAAACACACCCAAACATACGAATGTCTGTCTGCATGTTTGTGTGTGCACATATACATTTCGCGCGCACACATATGCATACACATACATGTGTAGGTAGGTAAGTAGGTGGGTATGTAATGCATTCATGTATGAATGTATGTATGCATCTATGCACGCATGCATGTATGTATGCCGGCATGTATGCAAGTATGAAAAGGCATGCCAGCACATTGCCCTGAAATTGTCCTCTGCTGCGTGGCACGTCGTCGGGGCAGAAGTCTGCACCGGCCAAGCATTTTGCTGTGTGAGAGAGCATCTCCGTAACCGGAGAGTAGCGGAACAAAGTCCGGCATGAATCCCAGGGAAGGGAATGATGAAGGGCATTGTTTTCCGATGTACGAGGTTTTGGGCGTGTCAGCTTGGCTTTGTTGTCAAGGCCTATAGTCTGCACAGCCTGCAACGTCAGAACCTGGGCATGGTTGAACAATTACTTAACCAAGAGCTTCTTGCGAAGAAACCTAAATGGAATTCAAGTCGTTGCTTCTTTGTTGTGTTGCCCAGTGGAGGTAATTCGCGTTCACAGCTGTGCTCAGCGCAGAGCTCATCGATTCCACATTGCCTTCAGTGGGGACGTTTGACTGTTCAGTCCGTGTTAACCACTGATTCAGCAGCCGCGAAGCGGAGAGATGCCAAATGCCAAGATTTGAAAAGCATCCGGAACCTGAACTGACTGGCACCTCCTTCGTTCCCGCCCTGTATAGAACCTGACAGTCACGGAGGTTGTTGGACACATGAGGTGTAGGTTGCCTAGATGCCATTTTCGGTGAATATATGATCGAAATATACACACTCATAGAGAAAAGCGCATCTGATGAGAACCTCTGGGCTGGGACAGCCTCGTCGAAGGCCTGGCCCAGCGAAAGCGCGCGGATGAGGTCGGCGAGGCGAGTGGTGGCGCAGAGTTTTCGGGGTAGTCGCTGGTTCCCGAGTGTGCACTTTTGGCAGGGAGGGTTCCTGGAGTAATGCATGAAGGCACAAGCTTCCAGTTTCTACGCTCCGAAGACGGGGAAAGCACGTATTTGTCACGAAGCCGCGCTCAGCGCCCTTCGTGACGATTGCACCATCAACAAGCTGCAGTTGTTCCATGAGGTCCAAGGTCTGAGATTTGGTGAAGCGCTGTCCACTGCTCCTGCAGTGATATTCAAGATCTCCCTGTCTTCGCAGGCAGTACCTCCAGTGCAGCTGAGCGTGACCAGCAAAGCGCACATCCTTGTCGAGAAACAAACTGTGCAAGAGATGCCTTTCGGGGCAGTCAGTGCGACGTTCTTACGGTTCTTTCAGTGGCACTTGTCGCTTGGAGCAGTGCGGTCCGCAATAGGACGGCATTCTCGCTGTGTTTGTGTAGTGGCACAAAGGTCATGAAGTCTCCAACAATGTCCACGGCTCGAGTTTGCCAGTGTCGGTAGTGCCGGTGTCCGGGATGACAGGAGAGTACGCACGGGTGGTTCCGGCCCCTGAGCCAGAGCGGCGGCCAGTTGACCCTCCCAAGGAGTCTGGGGTTCAAGAAGTCCCCGTTCCTATCGACGATGAGGACGAGGACGACGATGATTGTAGCTCCAAGGACATCCTCCAGTTCACCACGGCGATCTATTTCGTCGAGGAGAGCGAACCGCACCTCACCATTGACGTCATGCGTCTCGGGGCCATGACGGACACCGTTAAGGTGAGGTATAGGACGGAAGATGGGTCGGCGAAGGCTGGGAGGAGCTACAAGCACACGGAAGGAGAGTTGGTCTTCGAGCCGGGAATGTTTCGACAGTCCATTGAGATTGAAACAGTGGCCAATCCACTATGGTCACCGACCTTGGAGTATAAGGTCCAGCTTTATGATCCAGAGGGCTGTACACTTGGCCTGTACTTGCAGACGGCAAGGGTGAAGGTCATTGACCGAAATCCTTTTCCGACTTCGAAATACGCTGAGCAACTGAAGAAGGGTAAGGAGGGGGTGATGAGTATTCGTGGTATCGGACTTCTGTGGGAATACTGGAAGCTCTGCTACGGAGTCACCGGGGTAAGGTGGCGCACCTTTTTGATATTGTTCTTGGATCAGTTCCGGAATGGATATGCCGTCGTGAAGCTGGTGCTTAACATGTACATCGTTGATGTTCTGTTCAACACGGCCGACCCTACCACTGAGGCCAAACTTTGGCTGCCGGATCGTTTGAGCACTGCTGTGCTCTTAGGCTGTTTCTATGTGTTGCCGATGATTGCCATTCACATCGGTGCCGTGATCAAGAACCAGATCGACTTGCCTGGGCAGCTTCGCTTGTTTCTGCAAAGCTGCTTGTTCCGGAAATACTTGAACTACAGCGAGGAAGCACGGGCTACTGTAGCACCTTCCGACATGCAGACGGCCATCACCCGAGATTCAGGTAATGCAGCGAATGCCTATGTTAAGGTGCTGGATCTCATAGCAATATTTTTCGAGCTCATAGTCTTCTCGTACTTCACGCTCGACCGGAACCCCACTGCCATCATTTTCATCCTGGCCATGCCAGCATGCATGGCACTGTACTTCGCAGTGGTCAGCAGCTTGTGCCGTGCTGGTGTTAACGACTGGAAAGCCAAGGAGGTTCTGGTCCTCCGCATCGTTGCAGAAGTCTGCGAACGATACCGGCTTATAGCAGACTATTTCCAGCGACCGCAGATGAACGAGGCTTTCTCAGCGACGGCCGGAGCGCTGCGTAAAGCCCAGAGCCGAAAGGCTCTTGCCAATCTCAACGACGACATGTTTCCGCAATGGCTGGGCCCTGGCTTTACAGGCCTCTACATTGCGATGGATGCCAACAACGTCTTGACGGGTCAGGTGACGCTTGGCACCTTCCTGGCCACCATCAGTATTCTCGGGAGCATTAGCGGCCAATTTGCAAGAGCATACAATGTCGTCCTGGACATCTATGAGCTCACGGCCCCAGTGAAGAAGCTGACCGTGTTCTTCAACAAGGCCACAGATCTGCTAACTTGGAAGGAAGTGAACCGGCAGCGGCGGGACAACACAAGAAAAGCGCGTGATGCCCTCTTCAAGAAGGAGGAGGAGGAGGGTGGGGAGCCAGCGCTCTACAAGACTGACCTTATTGATCTGAGGCTTGAGAACATGGCATATTCGAATGTGGCAAAGACGCTTTTCCACGACGTGAACTTGACCATTCCGCAAGGAAAGCTGGTTGCCGTGACCGGACCACATGGCTCCGGGAAGTCGACTTTGATGAGGCTGCTGAGCCATATCATCTTCCCGAAAAGCGGCTGCATTTTCTTTCCTTCACACCTTCGCATCCTGCACTTAGCACAGGAGCCGCTGCTCTTGAACGCTTCTGCATGGGTCAACCTGGTCTTCGGTGTCGGAGATCGAAAGGTCGTTCCAAAGCGAATTCGGACGATACTCGAGATGATGGGAATGACTGCGACGCTCCGTCTCATCAAGGATGACTTGGATCGCGTTGAGCGGGAGGGACGCCGGAAGGCGGGCGACACCTGGAGCCAGCCGGCCAACAGCGGATGGATGGACGGGTTGACTTATACAGAAAAAGTGAAGATGTGCTTGGCTCGTGCTCTGATCATGAACCCGGAAGTCATGGTCCTCCAGCGGCCGCTCCACCACTATGATGCTGACACCGCCATCACCATGGAGAAGCTGCTGAGGAAGCACGTCGAAGAGAGGGGCTTGGTGTTGCCGGAGGAGCAGCGAATACACCGGCGACCGCGAACGGCCTTCTTCACCCTAGAGAGTGCCGAGCAGGCCAAAGGCGCCGACATCATTCTGTATATCCAGGAGGATGGCACCATTTTGGCAGAGAGCTCGCCGGGTTCAACGGACGAGCCTGTCACCGAGAGCACGCCGAAGGGCGAGCCAGCTGAGGACCAGCCGGTAGAATGACAAAACCAGACTCAGAGAGACCTTGAGCTGGGGCCTGATCAGCCCCTGCGTGAGCCGATCAACGACGGATAAGTTTGCTTCAAGACTATAATCAAGTTTTTCCCCTCCGGCCCTTACGGCCCCAAATTGTGTGTGAGAGTTGTTGAAAAGATTGTTCTGCGTCCATGCAGAGGGGCTTTGCGCGAGGCAGGACCGAAGCAGAACAACTGCCCAGGTGATGCCTCCGTGCAACTCTGAAGGAGGGGCAGAGGGATACCTTCGATGTTTGGCTGCTCCCGTGCAAAGCAAGTAAGTACGTATGCATGCATGAGCAAGTTTGTACGTAATTATATATGTAGGGTCAAGTACGTAATTATGTATGGACAGGTAAGTAAGCATGTAAGCATGTAAGTAAGACTATTTATGTAGATAGACAACCCTTGATGCACAGTAGGTCCCATTTAGTGGGCCCTACGCCGGAATCGAGTGGCAAGGTCACTGTTCAAAGATGACTCAGCGGCCTTCTCAGTCTCGAGAGTCAGTGCCGTTTTTTGCACCCCGTAGCGGCGACTGCAAAAACCACTAGCAGCAAGCGGGTGAATAAGCAAAAGGCAGGTCGCATTGCATCCGTCGAGAGTGTACAAGGAGCACGTTTCAGGTTTCTGAGACTCTCAAGATCAACCTGCGAAGGCAAGTCTCGGAAAGGCCGAACAGATGCAACTCGAGGTTGCTGCGCTCAAATGATCGGGGCCCTTTGGTCGTGGGGCTCAAGTCTGCAGCACCTTTGACATTCGTTAGTTTCTGGGATGGCTGCGGCTGTGCTTCGAAGCCGCTAGGGTGCAAGATGAGACGCCGCGCTGCCTGAATGCCGTGTTTTGCCCGTGCGCGAGAGCTGTGTATAGCTGTGTTCGCCGTATGCGAAGCATCGTCACAGTATGGTTCGTCGTGTCTTGATGCTGTTCTTGTAGCAGGCCGAAACCACATCGATACTTGGTGGGTGCGCAGGGGAGCTTGGTAAAAACCCAACACCACACCTCGACCCCCTACCCCAGGGAGACAAGCCCAAGGAAGACGAGAGAACTGCTAAGAGCCTCGTCCCCAGAGAGTGCGTGACCAGGCGATGAGCCGTGGCGAAGAGGCGAAGTGAAAATTGAAGGGATCTGTTTGCGTACACTGGCATTTAGGGTAGCATCAGACCCCATGCAGGAATATGAAGACGGCGGAGGATGATCCAACGCAGGCCCCCAAAGAATTGGTTTTCTGCTAAAGACAGAAATGAGTTCTTGCATGGCAGGAGGGTCGCACTACAGCCAGAACGAAGTCCGAGGAAGCTGCAGCTGAGGTGGGCGTTTGCTTGTGCATGGCACAACTTGCTTGCCCAGCCGTCGTCGCCCATCAGTAGTCCAGCATGCGAGGCAAGTTAAAAGCATCAAATTCGCGTTGAGTTGCAACGGGCTTTTTACGTTTCGCAACACTTGCCAAGGCCTGGAACTAGATCATGCGGTGTGCTGATCTGTCAGCCCATGTTGCCGGCACTTCTCAGCTGTCAATGATTTTAGAAACGAGAGCTTCCCGAGAAACACCCGGGAACGGGAACGATGCCCAGTTGTTGTTTACAGGCTCTCGAAGTACTTCGCTGTCTACCTGTCCCACCCACACATCCCAACTCCAAAACCCGACCACGCATAAGAGCTGAAGATGTCAGGACATCCTGCGGCAGCTCAATGAGGCTGAAGCTTCCTTGGCGGCGCCCAAGGAGCGATGTTCTCATTTTGCAGATTCCTAGCTCGGACGGAGACCCACGAAGGCACAGTGGCGTAAAACTGATCGCGAGTCTCTGGCGCCGGTGGGCTTCTCGACCTCGGTCTGAAGTTTCTGCAGTTGTGAAAGGACACTCTGCGGGGAATGCGACGTTTTGTGGATGGCGCCTGCAGCTCATTCGGTCAAAGAGCTCCAGCTCTCCACAAACTGAAGTGATGGCATGCATAGTTGCGTTCCCCCTCCAGAAGTATGCTTTGACAAGGGCATGAAGTGCAGCCGTTTGGTCTACCCGAAACCCTAAACCGCTTGATAAGAGTTGCATGGTCGTTTTACTGCATGCTTTGCACGTGACGGCGTGATGGGTGATATACATCTGCATGTGGAGATCCTCTTGCATGAGCGGCATGATACTGCATGTTCTCTCGAAAGCCCGATGAACCAATGAAAGCTGGAAGCGAGCCCGACAAGTGGTGTAGTGTGAACTCGTTTCACTGGATTGCCCGACGGACAGAACTAGGGGTCGGGGTCCTTATTCTGTGTGGGTTCGTTAGTTGTGTGTCCGGAAGGCGATCTGCTGTCAAAACCATGATGAAGTATGTTTGTGTACTTGGTGCTGGCTTGTCGTACATGGTGCTTGACAGTGTGTTCCCTGTTCTGAAACGCGGATGAGGGGACTCGTGATTTACATGTCTGGTGATACGTGCCAGCTGTATGGTTAACGAAGGACCAGGATCGCTATAGACCTTGCTAGGCTTTGTCCGAGTGTGAGTGTCAAAAAAAACCCTCGAGAGCGTAAACCCCTGAACAGGTAAGAGGTTGCGAGAGCGTAAACAGGTAGGAGGGAAAAAACCCCTAAACCATAAACCGCTAAGCTGAGGTCTTGGATTTATGGCGCAGTGGGTCCAAAGATGAGATCTCAGCCGTCGAGCTTAAGGCAGAGGGCCCGGCTCACTCAAGTTGCAGCTGAACCGCGACTCCGAAAATAGGAGACCCTAATATAGTACCCCAAATAGTAGGATCCCTATTATAGGGACCCCCAAAATAAGGTACCCCTAACTTTCGAAACTCCCATACTGCTTGCAGGCCCTGTTGGCTGAGATCCGGGATGCATCTGACGATCCAAAATACTGGGAGGAAGTCATGCAGGCGCCTTGCGACATGACAGCGCGCTACTCGCAGGGTGTCTCCGTGCTATGCGCCTGCTCGAGCTGCACATAGTCAGGACAATAAGGCGGTCTTCAGAAGTCGCCAAACTCTACATTTGTAAAGAGCCCCGCAGTCTTGACCAGTGCCTCTATGCAGAAGTCTCAACCCAAAGCTTATCCTTAAACTTTTTGTCTTTAGCCAGGCCGTTCCCTGCGAAGCGGGGTTTGGCCTGAGCCTCTCCGAAGTGGCAGAGGCCATGCTCTTGAAATGAGGGGTGCGGCTATCGTCCACGGGTTTGTGGGGTGCAAGGGCCCGGGGTGTGAACGATATGCACAGGGTAGTAGTGTGGTTGAGCAGGCTGTGACGCGCTTGTCCCGGACCACCCATTGCTGTGGATCATGTGCTTGTTGGCTTGAGGGTTTCTAGCGACAGAGATAAACAAACTCGAAACGCAGTTGCAAGTCAAGCTCCAATGGAAAGGACGTCTTTAATCGTCTTTACGTCTACCCATCATGGTACTCCGCATTTCCTTCTCACAGTAGACCTGCCGATGCTGCGTGCACTTTGGATCACGACTGCAGTTGGGGCATTGGAGACTGGGAAGCAGTTCCCTCGCCATGATGTACTGGCTGAGTACCACTCGATGCTGTCGCTGATGGTTTTTCCTACAAGCACCGGGCAGGCAGCAGAATTAGACACTGCCTTCCAAGCTGTGGCGGGTGCAGAGGACGAGTTCCACATCCACGGTGCCAACGTGTCTTTCTGGGGTGAGCCTGTGGCCTTGGAGTATGCGCATTATGGCGGCAAGCTGGGTGCAGCCGATGCTGGGATCTCCTCCACTGGCTTAGCTGCTGCCCTCATTAGTGTGACGGATAATTTCACGGTGGAAAAGGTTTGGGAACACGCCCCAGTGCGAAACTTTGCAAAACAGACCTTGGACTTCATCCTCAAGACTTACCACAGCGAGGAGAAGGAGCAGGACGAGCTTTGATTCTCGGGCTTGCGTCGACAGGTTTCCGGGAGTTCATGTCCGGTTCACGGCAGAGATATCAGCACCGGTTTTGCCAAGGTTGGGTCGGAACAAAGTATTCCGCTGACCGGTGTACACTAGTTTGGGATAGACCGTCGGATACAGATAGTGAGCGGCATGCTAGCTCACGATCCCTTTGTGCAAGTACCACTTGTAATTCTGGCGCATCAAAAATCGGAGAGCCGTGGCGCATCAAAAATCGGAGAGCCGTGCGTCGTGCCAGCGCACGAGTCAGTCAAGGCATTGCGGCAAGACTTGGGAGCACGAAGGCATTAGCATGTCGCAATTGTTGCTGCCGCTTGCGCCATCAGGCTGTGTGCGTTTGGTTGTCGAGACCTGAGCAGCGATGCAGGTAGACAACCAAGACGTGTAGCTTGCTTGGAGTTTCTCGTGGCCGTGTGAGCTAGTTATGTATCAGGCCATCGCCTGCTTTGGTGATTTATAACGAACACCGCACACGTTCCTCTGGTTACTCAGGACAGACGTCGTCAGGGAAGACGACGAGAGCGAGGAAGAGGAGGAAGAAGAGGACGATCCTGAGGCTCGGCTGTTTCGTGACGCCCAGCATGATGCACAGCCATCAGCAAGGGTTTGAGCATCATGTCAGCTCCTTCGGTGGCATGGGAGCGTGTAATGTGTTTCCTTGGAATCCGACACTTCCGTTTTAAACTAGTCCCTAGTCTTTGCTCACAACACTTACATTGCTTTGGCCATTTTGGTTTAGTATCAGGGTTTTATGGTTGAGTTGTGCAAATGTGTGCTTTTTCGCTGCATTGAACAACTTGAGACTTGAGCTGCTGCTTGCGATTGAGGGCCAGGGCGCGAGAAAGACAGAAACGCTAATAAAAGCCGAGCTGGCTCCTCCTACACTGTTTCGAACAACCTTCGCCTCCTGCTTGGTGACTCGCTCAGCCGTGCAGGAGGTAAAAAACTCTCATGGGCAGAACTTGTATCCCAAAGTATGGGAAGTCGTAGCACCTTGGAACTAGAACTAGAGGACCAGTGATCTCGTGATGGCGCAGAGGGCGTCTAACACACAATCATAATCATAAAAGTACACAAAACTAACTTGCTCATAGCAATAACAAGAATAGGCATATTAGGTAGTCTGGGTCGTAAAGTTCGACCTGAAGCTCCAGAGGCTGTCAGCGAGTTGGCGTCCTACCGTGGCGCTCACAACGGCTCGAACAGCCCCAGATACAGCCTGAAGACCGGCTTCGTTGCGGAATTGCTTGAGGTTCCGGGGAATGCTACGATGTCAGGAGATGAATGTTAGTCGGTTTTGGCCGCTTGCATGCGATGGGAAGCACCGAAACCCAGCATTTGTATCTCTTCCTACTTGCTCAAGATATGGTCCCATGTCCAAGGAGCACAGTCCTGAATCAGCAGTGCAGCTGTCATTTGGGCCATGAGACCTTCATGCCCGAACAAATCGAAAACGCAAAGGTTCCAAACAAAGGCACTTCGAAGCTCGCCAGCACAAGCAGGACGGAGCTGCGGCAAGCGGAGAAAGCGGGATTTAACTCAGCAGGGACCTCGGCAAAGCTCGCCGTGGCCCAATCTCGCAGACAAGGTCTGGATTGCATGTGTACGACATGCTAGTTGCACAAGTATATTATGTGCACCTGTACAGAACCATATGCCATATGCGCACACTTAAGTGCCCAACAGCTATGTATTTGATAGTCTGGGTTGAGGAGTCCTTGTTGACAAGTTGAAGATAGTGTGAGGCACAGAAGTCCGTTTGAGGGTTGGTTGGTTCCACGACATCGCAGTGCGACCCTGGATTCAGTCTCAGGTGTCGCCTCCAACGTCTCCACAGGCCCATGTTTTTCAGTGATCATTTTGTGCAACAGGCTGCCGTCAGCCAGCCCGCGTTATAAGGCATAAAACAGCAAATTTGCGGCGGGCAGGCACCTTACTCGAGCCAAAACTACCGGCGTCGAAGTCCGGAAGCTCAGTGTCAGGGTCCAAAGGCGCTGTAGGGGAAGCCCCGGGCCCGGTGTCTCCAACACATCGGCAAGCGGCATAGTGTTTTTTGGAATCTGCCTTGAGTTGGAACTGGAAGCTGCAGCTGGTATTTTGGGTTGCCTCCTTGTCTAGCACCTCTGAACAAGCGGCGTGTCAATGCGTTCCTGTCTCCTTTCTCAAAGACAAGTGCCTGTCATCATGCTCCATGCCAGTCAAGGCAACTACAGTCTTCACCAGCAGGCATCATGGCCATGGTCGTCGCGGTCATCATCATCATGGTCCTCACCATCGCATGCCGAAGCTTATCATGCTCAGCAGCAACAGCCAACCAACAACAACGACACCGCCCTGATCATCATCACCACCGCAGCCACCGTCAACAGCAGCCAATGAAGTAAGCAAGTGAGCATCATCAGCGTCCTCGTTTGTCCCTCTCGAACCATCTCATTGAAGCGCCAAGGCAGCCTTGGGGATCTCCGGAGCCCATCTGCTCTGCACAGGGACCGGACCCGAGCACAGGTTGAGTAGCTGCACTTTCAATGCCTTGCCAGGTGTGATCAGGCCCCCAGCTTCGCAGTTTAAGCTCTCCGGGCCGGAGTCACTTTCGCTAGATCGCCGGCGATCTTGGCGGAGTAACAAGAAGAAGCGGTGGGATGCTTCGTGAGTTGCATTGCACCCCCCTCCGACATTACCCAGCAGGAATTCTACTTCCACTTCCAAACTGCAGCCACAAGCCTGCCACACCTGAAAAAAAGGTTCCCAACGAATAGTGACTAGTTCCATGTGTCCGTCAGTCTAACTCCGTATCTTCCTCTGCGAAGCGGCCTCGAGGACTCCTTGGGTGTTGGCCCCTCTTCGGAGATTCTCCGGGCCCAGGAGACCGGGGGGCTTCCGGGGCCATGGCTCAAAAAGGCGTGAAGTAGGTGCCACCCAGCAGGACTAACTGGCTCTTGTCAGGGCTCAACTGCTGCTGCATGCCTTTGCCTGAGTTGAGAGGCCTGGGCGACAAGTTGAGATTGTCTCCGGGCTCTTGTGCGTGGGATGCTGTGGGTCCCGAGTTACCGCTTCATTCCTGCATGATACGGCCCGTTTCCACACGTGAAGGAGCTAACGGAGCTGATGCGAAGGGCGGTCGACGCCTCCGGGGATGCAGGGCCCTCGGCTGATTTGTCCGAATAAGTTGCGCTGGAATGTCGCGCATGATACTTTGTGAGGGTTTTAATTCGCAGGGGCAACATCTACTTGTTCCACAGACCGACATCGGGTCCGGCATAGCAGTCTGCAGTACGCAGCGTAGCATCCAAGCGATTTTTGATCCGCGACAAGTGCATACGTATGGGATGCCAGTAAGGCGGCATACACACAAGTATGCGTGCAGCTACATGTGTGTAAGTAGGGTATGTGTGTTTGTATGCAAGCATGTATGTATGATTAGGTCTGTTTGTCTGTCTGTCTGTCTGTCTGTCTGTCTGTCTACATGCATGTATGTATGTTCGTATGTATGCATGCACGTTTGTACATAAGGTTTGTTTGCATGCGTGCATGCCCTTTTTTTGTAATGTACGTAGTGTACGTACCGCATGCAGTATATGTTGTACGCATGTACATACATCGGCAAGTAAGTATGCATGTAGGTTTGCATGTATGTATGTATGTATGTATGTCGAATATCCGTGTCAAGATCCTTCTCTATCTGTCTGTGGATAGGTTTGTATTGGATATCGTAAAACATTCGTTGGATACAATATAGTACACTCTCTGCACGCACTATTGCTGGACATACGTGCTCAGCAAGTATGTGCATGTGTAGGTGCGCATACGGGTCTACATGAATGAATGCATGTATGTATGTATGCATGTATGCATGCAGAATCATGCACACATACACGTACCTTTCTCTCTCTCTCTCTCGCTTACTAGTATACATATAATAAAGATGTAAGACACTCGTGCGCTCGCACACGCACACACGTACAGATGTTTAGATCTGCACTTGTATGCGGCACGCCTACATCGCATGATTCCGAGGGAGCTATGCACTGCATTTCAGGTACCATCCCAACGGGCCATGCAGAAGCTCAATCTCGCACATGACGGGATCGCCCGACAGCTGCAGCAGCAGGCGCCTGGAGACGAGGGTAATGATCGCAAGGAGTCTAAGTCCGAGCGTGCGACCGCAAGAAAATGCTTGTAGGATAGCAGCGGAAATAGTAGCAATAAGAGGAATGGTGACATAGCATATACATACATACATACATACATACATATATATATATATATATATATATATGGTACCCCCCCCCCCATTGACCTACCCTTTTTGGTCTTTTTGAAAGGCAAGGGTGGGTCGGGGCGGGGTGTACCCGAATGGAGCGGCGTTCCCAAAGACCTAGTTTCTTAAAAGACTCAATCTTTCGGAGGTCGAGGGAGACTGTATCCAAAACCAAAAATATTCAGGCCTCGCAGCACCTTGGAACTCTGGGCGCTGCAAAACACTGAGAGGCCTCAATCTTTTGGAATCCCGAACCTCAGAAAAATTGAGGCCTCTCAGTGTTTTGCAGCTTCCAGAATCCAAAACATTGAGAGGCCTCAATCTTTTTATGATTTTGAAGCCAAAACGCTGGGAGGCCCCAAAAGACTCAAAAGACTCAATCTTTTGGAGGTCTTGGGAAACTATAACCAAAATCAGAAAATTGAGGCCTTTCAGTGTTTTTTGCAGCTTCCAGATTCCAAAACACTGAGAGGCCTCAATCTTTTGGAATCCCGAACCTCAGAAAAATTGAGGCCTCTCAGTGTTTTGCAGCTTCCAGATTCCAAAACACTGAGAGGCCTCAATCTTTTTATGATTTTGAAGCCAAAACGCTGGGAGGCCCCAAAAGACTCAAAAGACTCAATCTTTTGGAGGTCTTGGGAAACTATAACCAAAATCAGAAAAATTGAGGCCTCTCAGTGTTTTGCAGCTTCCAGATTCCAAAACATTGAGAGGCCTCAATCTTTTGGAATCCCGAACCTCAGAAAAATTGAGGCCTCTCAGTGTTTTGCAGCTTCCAGATTCCAAAACACTGAGAGGCCTCAATCTTATTGATTTTAAGGCTAGTTTCCTAAGACCTCCAAAAGATTGAGTCTTTTGAGTCTTTTGGTGCCTCCCAGCGTTTTGGCTTCAAAATCATAAAAAGATTGAGGCCTCTCAGTGTTTTGCAGCTTCCAGATTCCAAAACACTGAGAGGCCTCAATCTTTTGGAATCCCGAACCTCAGAAAAATTGAGGCCTCTCAGTGTTTTGCAGCTTCCAGATTCCAAAACACTGAGAGGCCTCAATCTTTTGGAATTCCGAACTCAGAAAAATTGAGGCTTCTCAGTGTTTTGCAGCTTCCAGATTCCAAAACATTGAGAGGCTTCAATCTTATTGATTTTAAGGCTAGTTTCCTAAGACCTCCAAAAGATTGAGTCTTTTGAGTCTTTTGGTGCCTCCCAGCGTTTTGGCTTCAAAATCATAAAAAGATTGAGGCCTCTCAGTGTTTTGCAGCTTCCAGATTTCCAAAACACTGAGAGGCCTCAATCTTTTGGAATCCCGAACCTCAGAAAAATTGAGGCCTCTCAGTGTATTGCAGCTTCCAGATGCCAAAACACTGAGAGGCCTCAATCTTTTGGAATCCCGAACCTCAGAAAAATTGAGGCCTCTCAGTGTTTTGCAGCTTCCAAATTCGAAAACATTGAGAGGCCTCAATCTTTTGGAATCCCGAACCTCAGAAAAATTTAGGCCTCTCAGTGTTTTGCAGCTTCCAGATTCCAAAACACTGAGAGGCCTCAATCTTATTGATTTTAAGGCTAGTTTCCTAAGACCTCCAAAAGATTGAGTCTTTTGAATCTTTTGGGGCCTCCCAGCGTTTTGGCTTCAAAATCATAAAAAGATTGAGGCCTCTCAGTGTTTTGGAGCTCCCACAGTCCCAAAGTGCTGAGAAGCCTCAATCTTTTTGAGTCTTGAATCTCAAAAAGATTGGGGCCGCTCCAGGTTTTGCAGCTCTCACAGTTCCAAAGTGCTGAGAGGCCTCAATCTTTTGGAGTCTTGAACTTGGGGCCGAGAATATCTGGCCACATTAGTTTTCTGTTTCTGCTGCCATTTTTTTTTTGTTTGTTTGGGGCCCTGGGCTCTGTTACTCTGTTACTCTCATACTCTTATACTCTATGACTCTATTACTCTATTACCCTATGACTCTATTACTCTCTTACTCCAAAAGCTCTATTACTCTATTACTCTATTACTCTATTACACTAATACTCTATTACTCTACTACTCCACTAACTCTATTTATTACTCTATTACTCTATCTACTTTATTTCCTCTATGACTCTATGACTCTATTACTCTGCTACTACCCCTACTCCTACTCCTACTCCTACTACTACTACTACTAATGCTACTACTACTACTACTACTACTACTACTACTACTACTACTACTACTACTACTACTACTACTACTACTACTACTACTCGTACTACTAATACTGCTATTGCTACTGTTACTGGTACTGCTTTACTATTACTATGCAGCACTATTACTTACTATTACTATTACCAATTACCAATGCATAAAGTCATGGAGCAAAGCCTGCGGGTCACGCGCTTCGCGCGCACTGTTTCTTGTACTATTACTCTTTCTTTATTACTCTATTGCTATTGCTCTATTGCTCTATTGCTTTATTGCTTTGTTACTCTATTAGTCTTTTCGTCTTTTAGTCTGTTTAGTTTGTTTAGTCTATTAGTCTATTAGTCTATTAGTCTATTAATCTATTAGTCTACTAGTCCATTCGTCTATTCGTCTATTAGTCTATTAGTCTATTAGTCTACTAGTTTATTCTGTCTATTAGTCTATTCGTCTATTAGTCTGTGATTGTATTACTCTATTACTCTTTACTATTACCAGTACTAGTACTATCTATAACAAACACGCGAAAAAAAGCCACAGGTGCAAACAAATAATGGCGACAAAAATAGGCCCTCCCTTGTCCATGCATCATTGCCACTCATTGCTCCTGAGACCCCCAACAAAGGTAGGTCAATGGGGGGGGGGGTAGCATATATATATATATATATATATATACACATACATACACACGCACACCACAAATTTGCACAGCTAAGATGATAGTTCCAATAGCATTAGCAATCAACATGGCGTTTTCAACGAGCATAGCCAGTGAAACAGCAATCAACGCAAACAGTTTGACCCCTCCTAGTCTTGATCATCGCACTGGCAAGAATAACCGTATGCACGGGTGGCAATAGCAAGAAGGCTTACAGGGCAGTGCCCACGATAGCAATACAAAACACTGGCGTGCTTTGATGCTTTTGTCACCTTGAATTGACCTGCACTTCGCCACCTGATTAACAGGAGACTGAGCTCATGACTCTCCGGCGTGACCGGGATACCATGCAGAAGCGCCTCAAGGATGTGGAAGAGGAGATGGGAAGATCCCATCCATCAGATTTGGGGTTGGAGAATCTGACAGTTTCAGGATCTCATGTCGGTACACGACTGGAGAAAGTAGCTTGTACGCATGTCCAGTCTTAGCTGTCTTTGGTTCACAGCGGGAAGCGTCGTCGAAGCTCGTGAAATAAGCTCCCGACTCATGTGACATATTGCTAGCGACTCGTTCGGGAATGCAGGAAGACAAAACTCATAAGCTGAGCTAGCTGTGTGTCTTCTCCTAGAGTCAGGTTGTCGCGCCTGTGCAAGCAGCCTTCTCCCATCAAGCCTGCAACCCGCGCAGACGCCGCGTATTCGGTGCCCAAAATCAAACCCAATCAGCCAACCCTCAAACTAGCCCGGCACGCAAGCTTGTGCTCGATGTACAAGCAATCCTGCTCGCGTCCCTCGATGTCCATATGGCCATCACCTCGGCCCTGCTTGCCCTTCGTGGCTGAGCCGCCCCAGTTCGGCCGGCGTGCGCGTTCGGGTGAGAGCCCGCGGAGGCCGCGGCCCGGATGGGAAGTCACAGGGCAGAGTCCGAGGAAGCGGAAGCGGGGAGAACCGAGCTGTCGCGTGGCTGTGTAGGTCCCTGCGTGCCGGCCCGGCCTTGTTGTTGGCCGCTTCCGCATCATCGCAGCAGCCAGCGAGGTGCAACGGGTTTTTTGAGGGGAGGCTCTCTCCTACGCACGGGCTTGTTGTTGCGGCAACCGAAGGCGATGGAGAAGCGTGATGCGGAGCAATGGCATTCGCCAGCTTGGTGAAACGATCCGGTGGCTCGCACATGGTTTGGAGATGTCGAGTTGGTTTTAGGATGCTGAGTGCGGAATTGAGGCTATGACTTATTGATGTTAAATGAAATGCTGTTCATTCTAGATGATGCCGCAGGTCATTTCCCAAATAAGTAAAGACTCAGCCCTGCAGTTGTCGGCTGGTCATCATGCCACGTAGACAGACGGTAGAATCGCAGCAAGCACAGGAAGGGCAGCTTTGGATATGATCTTTCGGGCTCCGGAGCACCACACTGCCAAGCCCAGGCAGCGCCTCTTTGGAAGCGAAGGCCGGCTCAAGGCATCTGCGGGCAGGGTTCGTTTTCCGGGAGAGCGGCCAACTTTCTCCATAGCTCTGACTTAGGGTTCAAGCAAAAGCAGGTGTGGCCCTGGAGCCCGAGAGCATCTGCGAAAAGATTTCATTATGATTTGTCTCATGTTTGTGGAGGGAGTTCAAGTGGGTCCACGCGTGTTAACTGGTTCCGGCACAGGAGCTCCCGAATCTCATGAAAACGCCGCAGATGATCTATGAGGTTCGCTGCGTTCGAAGGGCTGAGAGTTTGCTCACCTAAGTGATGGTTCTGTTTCTCTGATTGAGGTGGCTCCGACGTAACTCTATGCTTCGAGTTTAGACTTTAGACTGTGCTGTAAGGCTCCACTGGAAGAGTTTAGACACCTGCCAGGAGAAGCTGCGACCCTTGGAGAAGCAGCTCCAGTTTGAGAACTTCTATGACACCGCCGAGCTGAGTGCCGCATACTTCACGTCGAAGCCGATGGTTCTCGTCCTAGGCCAATACTCGACGGGGACTCTCGACATGATCGTAGCTAGTTCTGATGAAGATAGCTGCAGTGTTGGGAGGATCATAGGTGAAGACAGCCGCACCCAAGTGCTCTGTGCCCGAGGAAGAGCACGCTGATCTCGCAGCTCTTGAAGGCTAGTTGCATTCGTCAAGATCTGAATTCTGTGAGGTTTCCATCGCCTTAGGTTCATTGGAGCTTAGTGGGCTGGATTGAAACAACCACACATCCGAAGTGAGCCAGCTTGATGAAGCGTCCGACGACTTCACGGACATGTCCACGCAGAGGTTGCGAACTGCAGGTGCTATAGAACGTGGTGATCTCTTGATTCTAGCTATTTGCAGGCGGAGTATCCGGGCCTTCGCATTGGTCCCGAGCCCACCACGGACAAGTCCCTCGTCACACCGACAAGCACCGCCTCTCCACTGTCAGACGCCGCATAAACATGCACGTATGTGGAAATACGAGGATCGAACAATGAGCGAACCCCAAATGCAGCATAAGCGGTTGTCCAACTGTTGGCTGTTAGCTGTCACATTTGGCATGAGCATGCAAGGGAGAAGGCATGGTTCTTCATGTGGGTACGGGTGGGCCCTAGATGATCCGATCCCCTTGAAGCGTCAAGCCTGAGCCATGCCGATGTGACCCTCTAAGTGAGCTTTAGGTTCGTGGCCATCATGGGTGGCCCTTCCCGCCAACAGTTGCCAGGACAGACGGTTCCCGTGGTTTTGATAGGGGTTTCCGGCGAAACAAACAGGGCGCGCAACTAACTAAGGTCAAGCTCTGCGCTGAAAGGTGTTTGCTTTCATGGGCCGATATAGCGTTCTGGACCAGATGTGAGGTTTGCGAGTCTGAACTCTAAACTTAACCATCCTCTCAGTCGCAGGTTTTGCGCTCTGCAGCAACCCCTCGCAGCCGTTTGGGCAGCTTCAGCCGCCCGTCGTGTGAAGTTCCCGTTGCTGGCGATTCTTCGGATCGCAATGGCCATGCTCTCTTGCTCTTTCCCCATCATCCCGTCCTGCTTATTCCCTCCCTCCCTTCCTGGCCCCTTCCTCCCTTGCTCCGCCTCTCCCTCTCGCTCTGGCTCTCTCGCTCTCTCTCCCTCTTGCGGTGTGCCTGTCTTTCGCCTGCTCTAAACCTAATTGTGCTGGGTTTGGAAAAAGTTACATAGGCAACAACGCCCTGCCATGCAACCCGACTTCCACCATGTTGTGGAGAAGCGTGCGCACACCGTCAAGCACATTTCAAGAGCTCGAATCTACAACATTTTCGTCAGTTCCCCGAACTCTGATCCCAATCGTAAAGGCGTTTTGGAAGCCGCTTTCTGGAGCGGTTCGAGGGGGCTTTGATGCCGGAAGAGGAGGTGCTGGACGGACCAGCATTGGCAGCCATTGACTGCGGGCTTCTAATGGGAGTCGGAAGGGCAACATGTTGCAAGGTAGGGTATTCGACTCAAAATCGAGAATGCATGTGCTCAGGCTACAGCAGGTAGAAGCCCCAAAGTTGGAAACCCAGTAGCCTCAATCCCTAAGAGTCATGTGTAGGGAATCCCAGCACTAATTGTTCTTAATCCGGTTTCCAACTTTTTGGGGTTTATTATATGGGGTCAGCATGGGTCAGCTATGAGTTATAAGGCGCAAAAGAGTGGTCTTTGGCAGGTGCCGGTGCTGAGCTGCCTCAGCTTCGTGGACACCCCGGGTGTCCTGAGTGGGGATAAGCAGCGTGTGGGCCGCTCCTACGACTTCGAGGGCGGGGCGGGTGTTCAGGGCGGCAATGTCGGGGTGTCAGGCATCTGAGATTCCTGGATGTCCTACAACCTTACGAGAGCACATCATTGCATCGTGCATGTCTGACGGGAGGCGTAATGGGTTGGTTTGCCGAGAATGCCGATCTGGTTATCGTGCTGTTTGACCCCAACAAGCTTCTCGGCAGACACGGCGATGTGGCTGTCGAAAGGTCTGGCTGGTTTGCTAACATTGCTGTATCGTTGCTTGTTTTGTCCTAGCATGTCCTAACGAAGCGAAAGCTGCCTTTGAACAACAAGAAGTAAGTGCCCCGTCGCCATACATGCAGCAAGGCCCATTGGTCAGCTCAACTTGCTTTTTTTATATCGTGTGGAGCTACGGCTAGGGGGGTAAGGCCTCTGAAGTATTAAGACTTCCAAAGAGGTACCGTCGTGAAGCCAGACCCGAGCTCGAGGCTTGACATCAGCGATGAGTTCCGGCGATGTCTGGAAGCACTGAGCAAGAAGAGCGAAAGCAAGATCCGCTTCGTTTTGAACAAGGCCCACACAAGCCGGAAAAGTGACGGAAACGGAACCCCTGCCTGGCCTTCGCATAGTTCTCGTCCATCCGGTTCTCGAGGTCCTAGGGTCCTAAGCCATGGAGTCATGAGCCATGTCCGCCCCCACATCCCCATACCAGGCGGAGAAGCTCGACAGATTCGAGCTGGCGCGGGTCTTCGGAGCATTGATGTGGTCCCTGTCAAAAGTGATCAACAGCCCGGACTCCCGGACGCATCCAGAGCTGCGCCTTCTTCGCTGGACGTGTTTTGGGAGCCAAGGAGATGCCGCACGTGTTCTTGAGCCCTGCTTCGAACCAGCTGGACCTTTCAAAAGAGGCTTTCTATGCCTCGGTCAGAGCTTCCGTTTACCTCGGCATTGTGTGCCGCTAGCCGCCAGCACCCTAGAATAGGAGAACCATATTGCGCCCACACCGCCGCAGGCGGCAAGCCGATTACATGCCAGACTCAAGACAGGTGCTTCCATGGACAACAGGGCCATCTGTTTACTATGTCAAAGACCAGGATTTCGGCACAAACCGCTCTTTGACTCTTCCTGCAGGGCAGTCCTAGAAGCAGGAACAGCAACATTTTCATCTGCAAGGCACTTACATCACTCCACAAGCACTGCATGCACAGGATTGCAAAGGTAGAGTAGCAACAGAGCCAATGCTAGTGGCCGCATCAAGCCCTTCAGTTGGACAAATCATTGCCCCCCGATCGCGAGGCACTTGCCTTCTTCCAGTCGGAGGGTGAGCGGCTGAGACACTCGGCCACGGAACATGATGCGGATAATAGGCTGAGAGCCGAGACGCGCTCGTCGTCGGGGCTTAGGTGTCGGTGTCTATCAACCCTAGGACATAGGTCTACGGCTGGCTCTGGAGGTGTCAGATCTGGACTGTAGACCGCAGACATCCGTCGGCTGAGGACAGGAGCTTTTCCAGGTGCCCTTGGACAACACAACCCGCAAGGCAGCCGACCAAAATCACTTATGGGTCACATGGGTCAGAAGCCAATGCCAATGCAACAGTGCACTCCCCCAGCTTTGTCAACATAGCTGTGTGCAGGTTAACGACCTCCTGCGAAGGGGCCGACTCCTTCGATGCCATGCTTTGCTTGTGCCTTTGCGCACAGTCCCCGTAGAGATTTTTGGTAAGCTACAAGTAACGGATGTCGAGAAACCTCCCTGCACTTCGAAGGCAGCGCTTCTTGAGGCCTTGCCCGGTAGCAATTTAACTGATCTTTCTCTCTACGAGAGTGTGCTCCTCGCTTTCCCTATCAAAGCCGAGTGGAAGCTCGAAGAGCATCGAAGAGCTTGCGAGGTGCAGCAGCTGCTTACATTGCGTGGGCCTTTCGGGCGGCGGAAGGCCACGCCAGCGCGAAAGTTTCATTTTTTCCGCAATCGCGACACGCCGTTGTGTTCAGATGGCTGACGTAAAGGGACCAGACAAGGGGGCCATGTGGCAATACCTTGCGGCATCGTAAGGGACACTCCAGTGAAGCCGAATTCGTTTGGCAATAGAAATTAAAGCGGGAAATGTTCGAATCGCATGGCCTCACTTAGTCTGTATGCAGACCTTTGGGTGTCAGGTCCTCCGCGAGACGATCACTGACCCTGCGACTTTGACAGCATCATCTTCAGTCTCTGCGTGGACAGAGAGCTCCAATCTGAGGTGAAGCTGGCAGCCGAGTGCGCGAAGGTAGCTCAGGCCGGCATTCCTCTTGCCTTGGATTCATGGGGTCACTAGTGCAGAGAGCTTGAAAAAGTATATGCCCGGGACTGGTGTTGTTGAGGTGCTTTTGGCTCCTTCCCTCTCTTGCTTGTGATCTGGAGTGTGCGAGTCCCTCAACCCTCAACTTCGCAACAGTCGGGTCAGTTGAGTCTTCAAAACTGACCTCCTAGCCTCACCCCTCGCGCATAGCATTAAAACCCTTTTCAAGTGACTTGCCAGTCCAGCGGGATTCCCCTCCAAGACTTCCCATCCGCTGCCACGTTGTTCCTCGGCCGTGACAGTGTTTCAGTGCTTGAAGTTGAACTATGTTTCAACGTAGTGGATGCAAGTTGAATTGCGAAGACACGGAAGTGGCAAAGTGATAATCACGAGAATCACCACCAGCATCATCGGCTTGGGCTTGACTAGGCGTATCTTGCCATCTTGCGGGCATCCAGATTCTCATGCGTCATATCATACGGTGTGGATGAAGCTAGACATGTTCCACGCAAACCAAGGACGGCACAGTTCTTGAAAATGGGGGACACGCCCGTGCAGGACTTGCACATGTACTGGAGACTTGCCGACCAAAAATGTTTGTTCAGGGCCTATGAGATGTTTCGCAGGCTGGGGCAGTGTAAGTTGTGGTTTTCAGTGGAAGATTCTGTATAGCTACAGTCCCCACATGCCAATGACAGCAGGAAGTGCCGTCTCCGCTTCTACGGAAAGCAGAGGTGCGCCTTTGTTTCATGTGGAATGTGGTGCGTTAGAGCTCTAGCGGGAAGATTTTCTCGAGTCACGCAAGTCAGTGAGTCTCTCATGTCTCTGCAGAATGTGTGTTGGAAGCATGTCCAGCTGAGCAAAGCCTACCCAATACATGTCCCTCATGGCAGGAGGCGCTGAGCAAGGACATCCCAGCCCTGCTGGACAGGCATCCCTGGCTTCGCATAGTGCCATCAGAGCAGTCTCGACGACCTACGCAACCAAGATTGTGCGAGCTAGCATGGATGGAGCTAGCACCATGGACCTCCACCCGCCTTTCCGTTTCAATGAGTCCAGCAGAATGTTTGGCAGAAAGCCGTGGCGGCCTTGGCGGTCGCGACATAAAGCTTACCAAATACCACCGAACCACTATTATGTCTGCCTTGGCGAGATCTCTTCGTCTGTCTACACACGAGGCAATCCGATGCTTGCAACCAATACTTGCCCTCCGTGTAGACCTTGTGAATTGCCGGAACACAGAGGGCCATGGCACATTGCGAACCGAATTGGGCACACCACTTGCTGTGAGTGCGCCAAAGGATTCTTATCCCAAATGCTGTTGGTCAGGGTGTCTTCTGAGCGAGAGCAGATGATCCAAGAGGCCGCAGCGAACTTGACTCCGGTTGTTTCCCCGGCCGATGCACAGGATTTGAATCCGGTTGTTTCGGATTTGAAGTTGCGGTTTCCGGGCCGATGCAAAGCTAGAGTGATCAGTCTTACATCCAGTATGCTAGAAGACTTCAGTGGACGCATTCCGATGTCGATTGAGGACATGGACACATGCCCCCTGCAAGCTTACTTTGACTTGTTTGCACCGTCAGGGACTGCCGATGCTTGACTTGCTGCTGGACTCGCGCACGAAGGAGTCTGCCGCTGCAGAGTGAGGCCCAGGACATATCTGATGAGACTGGCCAAAGATGCCAGGCTCCTGTCTCCGGGAGGGGAATGTACATAGAAGCTCGGGCTTCGCGCCTGCAGCTCCACCATCTGTCATTGTAGATGCGAGAACCAGGCAAAGACCTTGGTCGTAGTGATGGGTAGCTTCGGATGTAGTCGCACAGCTCCCAGTGAGGCAAGCTTCCCCAAACAGTCGATCCGAGGATTCTCTTGGGCTGTTCCTTGAAGCGCAGACACACGTGCCGTCGCTGCCCTGTCCGCATTCCAACCCTGCAGACCCATAGTTTGCGGGTGAGGAGCTGGGCCATGTTCACGAGCTCCAACACGAGGTGGCCGAGAAGACATGTCAGAGGCCCAAGGCTGCTCTTGCGAGTTGCCATCAAGTGGCGACGGGTTGTCAAGACGCAATCTGCCCCACAAGGTCAGCTCGACGAATTCTCGCGGAAGGCAGTGTGAAAGCAACAGTAGCAAACCCACGTGAAGCTCAGCAGGGCTAGCGGTAGCGGCTAGTACGGCTAGCAGCCGCAGAAACATGATGGCCACCCAAAGCCGTGGAGGCTTCTGCTATGGAGGCTGAGGTTGAAGAGTCCCTTGGCTGCCAGAAATGGTCGCCGGAAGGCTCGATCCTGGTAAGACAATCTGCCGCAGCTCATATTCAAGCTTGCTGCGCGAATCTTGTACTGGCCGCACAACGCCCGAAATTGCAGTTGCCCTTGCTTCTCTACGTCTTCAAAAATGCAGTTGGGACCAAGGCTGCAGCACCATCTTGCCGATTCTCAACAGGAGTTCGGAGTGCAAGATCGGCCGCGCCGTTGCACTTCTTGCGGCTGCGCCACCGCTTAGTTCGACATGTCTAGCGGCTCTTGTCCTTGATTGGAGCTGACTTTCCAGCCAGAATCTTGGACTGCCACCGCCGTGATCGCTGAAGGCTCGAAACCTAACCCGCCCGTGAGGCACGTGTAGCATAGCAGGAGTACCGTCCTGCTCCAAGCAATGGCTGCTTTCCCCTGTGCCGTGGAGCCTCTGCTGGACACGCCTTCTAGCCTGCCAGCTGTGCAGCTGCAGCTGCGCATGGTGGAGAGCTCCATAGCAAGTGCGGAGCACGATCTAGAGGCGTCAGGGCAGAAATCAAACATCTGTTTGGCTGACAGTGCAGATCTGACACTTCAAGACCGCAGGAGAGAAGCAGAGAAGTAGTTTCAGCTTCTGCAGGCCAGTTGGCTGAACACCTGCTTCCCGCAGCCGGCTCCTGGCTTCTATGTCGATGAGGTCTCGGCGGTGTTGGGCTGTTCGATTCTGAAATCTGAAAACTACGAGAACTCAGGGGGTGCAGGTATTGTTGGCTGATGAACAGGAGTTGGGCTTTGCCGGCGCGCCCCAACTTCGACGGTGCTCCGAGGTGCCAGGGAGGGGATCAGCAAAAGGCCACGCACTTCGACGGTGCATCGAATATTGTACACAGCCACCTCAATAGAGCCTCGAGAAGACGTGGGGTTGTCAACACATCGCAGGCCTTGGGTGATTTCCGCGAAGCGCGGCAAAAGCTGCCGCAAGCACAGCTTCGATTTTCTCTCGCTTTTTCCATAGGCCAAGCTCTTTCATGTGGGTGGTTGTGAAATTATCCTTATTATAGTACGGCACCTAATATTTAGGGTACCCAAAAAGGGACCATAATTTTGACAACTACCCATGTGCACAGTTCCTGAGGCTGCTGCGCCTTGAAGAGCTCCAACCTCCCAAGCAGCAGGCAAAGGGGCTTTGCTGCTTTCCGGCGCGGATATTCGGCTCCGTCCTAGCTCCTGAGGCAGAGGAGGCCAAGGCCGCCGAGGAGCTGACAGAACAGGTTTAGTCTAGGTATTTAAGGTATTGAATTAGAGTGCATCTGACTGCCGCCCCCTTTCTGTCGAAGTTCGAAAGACGCGAGGACCGCCTGAAGGAACGCGTCCGACGTCTGGAGTTCAAGCTGGCAGATGCGGAGTCCTGGAACGACAAGATGAGCGAAGCGGTGCCTTGGTGCAGATTCGGTCGTCCCAGGCAGGTTTCACTTAGAAGCATCCTTGAGATGTGCGGATTCGCTGTCTTACTGAGATGCAGAAGCTCTTGCAGACGCAGGCTGCTGGGAGCTTTCGGGGAAGGAAGAGCCTATGCTGGTGCAACGGGAATCGTGAAGGTTTTGAGGGTTCTCAAGTCAGCGATGCCTCCTTCCACAGGCTTAACTCTCAGACCCAGTTGTATGCTTCGTTTCAATTTCCATCGGCTCAGACTTCCACTACAGACTACAAGCCAGTAACTAGCTCTTGGTTTGAAGAGGCCGGACTGGAGCAGTCCGTGGAGTCTTTGGAGACGCAGCCCCTGGGCAGCCTTTCCCTCGTGAATCCCCGCCCCAAGCCCCCCTCTCACGTGCGGATGTGCAGGTGTCCGTACATGTGCATGTACCGTCATGTACCCATGGGTGAGCCAATGGCCAAGCGGCAGGTGTGCAGGCAGGCAGGCTGCGCGTGTGATGTCACAAACGAATGCACAGATGACATCAATGTGCCTAGATGCCCCTGTGCAATAGGAATCGTCCCAGGTGCGCAGCGCTCCGGCATCAGACGAGTGCAGCGGAATCCTGCACCCCGCCGGGCATAAGGACTCAGAGAGCGAGTTGCGTCTGATAGCAGACGTGCAGCCAGAACTTGTGGATGAATCAGCTGATTGAGGGCATGCAGTGCAGCCTTTCAAACTGGTCGGCAGCACTCCTCACGTTTTTCCCTGAGCAAACCTTCGTGACGCGAAACCTTTGCCTCGGGGCGGCGAGAGGGGTGAAAAATGACTGTTCTAGCCAGAGGCCCGCCTCAGTGTCCTGGCTTGAGCTTCTTATCTCCTCTTGTCTTTTTTTGTTGCGGCTCTTCCTTGCATCTTTAGGCTCGGAGCCTGGCCAGGACCGTAAGCCCTAAGGCCTTAAGGCCTCCAAGGTTTTGGTCCCAAAACGAGATGGCGGCCCCGAGCCCGACATACTTATCAGCCCAGGTAAGGATCAGCTGGAGCGATGGCTGGGGAGCCAAAGGATGGCCCAGGAGTCGACGATCGAGCAGCTGCGAGCAGAGAACGCAGGGCCCCCAACGAAGTTCTCGGACATCCGAGCTCGGGTTTTTATGTCATGGGCCTTGGGTTTGGGCTTGGGATTCTGCTGGTTACAAGTAGCGCCTACGAACGGGACGGAGGTGTAGTCGAGTTTGCACCAGGTTGCGAGTCTGAGGTCTTAGGACGTCCCCACTCCTTTCCTCACCCAATTCAGAAAAAAAAGAGAGACTCGCCCTGGTGTCTGTGCTGCAAGCGAGCGAGCCAGCTCAGAAAAAGAAAGACCTACTGAAGCACTCAAGTAGCAGAGTCCCCGCGGGCATTGATGCTTGCCATGATACCTTGCACGATCTCAGATACGTGCGATACCCCTCAAGCGGCAGTGTCGAATACAGTGTCGAATAGTGGATCTTCAGAAAGAGCGAAAGAAGAAAGAAAGGCTCGTGCTTCGCCGAAGTAGTAGAAGTTATCTTTTTCGACCCGACCCGTCGGAGTTCTTGAGGCTCTTTGTGCTGGGGATGCCAGGTGAAGTTGCAGAGGGAGAATGCCGCGCTTGCGGAGCAAGCCCAGCTGCAACAGCGACGTGCTGACAGGCTTCATGAGGAGAACGACCAACTTCGAGGCTCTTCTTCAAGTGCGAGCAGACAGAGCTAGATAGCTACTTAAATCACTAGCTTGATTGTTCGACAGGTAGCTAGGTAGGTAGATAGACAGATAGCATAAGCTTGCCCTGCAGGCCAAGGAGGCTACCCCGAGATTGCCTCCAATGCGCTTGCAGCAGACTGCGATGCTTGCAGTGATGTTTCCTCGTGGGTGTCTTGGCAGTTCTGAGTCCCCGATTGTCCCAACATCACCCGATGCCATGGACAAAGCACGGAAAAAGACCCAAAAACTGCGTCCACGCATCCTCTCTGAGGTTTGTGTCCCCTGCAGTGACCGCAACGTCTTTGCGGCTGGGACGATGCTGAAGGCCAAGGTCGGACAGGCGTTTGAGTACCTGCAGGCGCCCCCTCCGGTCGTGCAGCAGTGCAGCTGCTGGGGTTATTCGAGCTTCTAGCAGCAGCGCGTACAAGTTACAAGTGGTAGGATGACGAGGGTGCACGCTTTCTGTCAGGCCAAGGACCTACAGAAGGGAGCCCAGATATTGGCCTCTGACGATCAGTCTCTGTTGGAGGCAGGGGGGTTATAGGGTCGGATACGTTTCCATCATATTTGGAATCTCGATTTCCGCGTGAGGTGCTCGACAGCCCAGAAACCCAGAGATCTGTGGAGCTCATCGAACTCTCAACGGAAGATCGGAGACTCGGTTCAGCGAGAGATCACTTTTGTATCAGCTTGTGCCATTCTGTTCTGCCTGGAACAATATCCAAATATGCGGCGACCCCTGTTTGGCTCAAGCTTTGGTCAAAACCAACCGAACTTTTCATGCAAACGACCAGTGGCAATGCTGCTGCTAGCTTTCTTGTGCGTCGCCCCTTCAGCCGCACTGGAAGTACTGGATGTGGGTGCACCGCGTACAGGCACTCAGTCTATGCATGTCGCAATGAATATTCTTGGCCTCAACACGCTGCATAGCGGCTATTCGTTTCTGAAGCGAGCACCATGGTGCCAGTACGTGTTTGCCAATGGCTCGCTGGAGGATGCGATGGCCACCTTAGAGGGCTACGATGCTGCGATGGACGAGCCCTTCCAACTCGTCTACGAGGAGATTATGCGGGCCTTCCCGAAGACAAAGTTTGTGTTGACAATCTCGGACCCGGAACGCTGGTACGAGAGCTATACTGAGCTGATTGCGGGTATGGAAGAGACTAGGAATCGAACCCACGGCCGTTATCTCCGAAATGGCTTTGGCTCTTGGCTCCACAGCGATGTGATAACAAGGTGCACGGCTGCGCGTTACTGGGGCTGCGACTTTGCTAACGAGACCGGAGAGGACACGAAAAAGCAGTGTCTGGAGGCTCGCTGAGACTTTTCTTTCCCAGTCCTAAGTGCAAGCAGCTTGCGCTGAGAGACTTGAGGGGCCGCTGAACGGGACGAGCAGCACGAAGAACAAGAAGCTCCTTCGATCATGGTGTACATCTAGTAGCTGATATACTGGTAGCTAGCGAGCGCAATCACCCCACTACAGAACAGTTAGCGACGGATGTTGCGCATAGCATCCTACAGGGATGCGGCGGGACGCTTAAGCCCTAGAGAGAGAAAGCAAAGATGAAGCCTGCAGTTTTCTATGGCATTCTACTCATTGCAGCCTATTTTGGGGGAATGACCGAGCTCAGACCCCGGACATGGGCAGAGGACCATTGGACAGACGCGAGCCACGGGGAGAAGGCCTCCGGGCCAGGGTGCTGAAGTTCCCCTGCCCCAAGCAAGCAAGGACAAGAGCAAAAAGACAGCAAGAAACAAACCATGGCAAAACCGTACACAGAGAGACCCCGCGAGGGAGAGAGACAGAGAGAGCAAAAGAGCTCGATGAGAAAGACGGCACAAGAAATTGACCAAGACAACCTCAGACGACGAGGACATGAATCGCACACAGCGCCTGAGAGTGGCAGGCTTACCAACAGCACAACGAGCGGGTGCAGCAAGTCATCCCCGCAGACCGGCTCCTTGTGTCCTTTTGCTGCAATGCTGCATATAGGCGGTTTTGGGTTCAGGCTTTTGAGTCTTTTGGGTTTGGGGAGTGATGTGGAGCCACGGCCCTGTTCATTTTATACCAAGACTATAAAGTCCTCGGAGTTCGAGCCCCCAATCCCCACAACGAATCAGAACCTTGTTTTCGAATATCTGTGCACACTTTTTAGGGCTGGTGCTGCTCTGGAGGTGCTAGGGTCCTGGTTTTGGACATTGTTTCTGGTAGTGTTGAACGCAGGTACAACTTTACCGACGGCTGGGCACCGCTGGCGCACTTCCTCGGCAAACCCATCCCGGACGTGGAGTTTCCACACGTTGATCTGCCTGGCCTCATCTTTGAAGCATGAATGCTTTCAGCAAGGCTGTAAACCTTTGACCTGGTGGTGTTTTTAATATTTCTCTTTCTTTCTGAAATGCATTCCCGGCAAACAACGCAGGAACATCACGAGCCTGAGCCATCCGAGCCCGTCTCATTTCTGCAGGAGTCCATCCAGCTAGCATCGGAGCTCTGAGCATGACCGTCCGAAGAAAAACGCAGCGAAAGAGCAGGGGCAGAAAGTCGCAAAAAACGGTCCTGTGCTTTCTCTTCTCTCCGAGTCTGCCGCATACGCAGTTTGGCACCCTGTCTTCTGTCTTGGCTAGCTCGAAGCCTTGAAGCCTTCAAGTTATGAGCCTGGTCCATTCTTGACAGCCGGTGTTGTTTTCGTAGAGTGGGCTGGGTCTGAGGATGCTTTGCGTTGCGCGGCAGCAGCTACTCCTGTCTGCGCCAGCTGTGGGAGACGCACTGCAGGAGGCCTGCGGCTCCCTTAGTGTTATACAAGTTACAACGGAGTCGCTGCGGGCCTGTGCTATTCAGTTTGGCCACCAGAATCTTGAGATAATACTGGGTTGCAGGCTTCCGGATCAACTTGAGTTTTCTTTGTAGAGCAGACGCACGTGGCGACGTTGCGAGGAAGCCGCCTCTTCAACTGCGCAAGCTTGTTTGGCCGAGACATTGCATCCAGGCCAGGCCTGGTTCAACGGTTCAAAGCTGCAAACTTCATGCTTCTTACGAGTATATGCTTCGCTTCAACTCCTTTCCAACTACTGTACCATGCGAGAGACAGCAATGCAGTGGGCCTCGGGCCAGGGAGACGCCAAGTGGGCAAAAATCCAGCAAACCGAACGACTGGCAGGTGATTGGATCAAGGTAAACGGCCGCTTCTCTCGACTGACGCGCGTGGAGGTCCGAGCCCTCGCTGAGGAGGTGTCTTGGATTGGTTGTGCCTGTATTTGTTATCAAGCTCCTTCTAAATCCTTGATGATATTCTAAGCTTCGCGCTGTTGCTGATGCTGCCGCTGTTGTGGCAATTCTGCTTGGAGTCTTTGTCGTTGCCGTCGTCGTCGTGGTGGCTGTGAGGTGGTAGTTGTGGTCGTGGTCTTTGTTGTTGTTGGTGTTGTCGTTGGTGGTGGTAGCAGTAGTATCGGCAGTAGCAGCAGCAGGAGAAGAAGTGGCAGCAGCAGCAGCAGCGGTGGTCGTAGTGGGTCGTGGTAGTGTCGAGAGCTGGAGGGACCGTTGTACAGCAGCAGGAGGTAGTAAGTAGTATTTGGTAATTAATATTATTGTTGCTGCTGCAGCCTCTGAATTATGCTCACCATTGCCGTTATGTTAATCTTTGTTTGTATGGCTGGTAGGGCTCGCCTTCTTCTAAATGCGTGCCACTGCATGTGAATGTGGGCACGGTCATCCACCAGTCGTGCTGGTGTTCATCCAGTTGTATCTTCATTATTTGCCATCTCTCCCATCTACCATCGTCATCATTGGGATTATCTACTGTAGTCTTATCCTTGTCAGAATAGCCGGCGCTTTGCAATTGCTACATGAATCAGTTCGCACGCTTCATCTGGGCTTAGGGCTATGGCATGGGTAGAATGATGGCGATTTAAACAGGATTCCCTGCAAGCAACCCGCATTGCATCTTAGGCGGAACTGGTCCAGTTTGATCTGAGCCCAAGCCTCCCAGCAGCTACCTTCTCCCTCGCCTTGAGGGAGAAGGACCCTTTTGTTGCCGCCGTTTGATCATATGCCATGAGTCCTACCGAGTGCCCGATTGCCATTCAAAAGCCAGTGTGAATCTGAGCATTTCGAGAGAGGCGTTTAGGCCAGGCTGTTTCCCGTGTCCGGGCGCGTTGCCCGCGACACTTGCGCCCAGCTCAGTGCCGAACGCAGGTGTGCCCACACGCGTAGTTGAATTCATGCTCGCAGCAACGAGTCCTGCCCAGTGTTCTGACAATCAGGATATGCATATACCTATATAAAAACATTTATATATGTACATAATATAGGTACATACATATTTCACATACATACAGAGATACATACATACATACATACATACATTCATGTATGTATACATACTGGAATCCAGCAGGCTTCTAGAGGCATTTCGGTAGGGTGAGGACTGAGACTGCTGCGATTTCGTGCATGCAGCGGAGCCTGAGTAGGTTGCCAGGGAGGTTCATGTCTGCGGCAGCCCGTGCAGCGGCTGTCCTGACCGAACTTGTGCAGCTTTCTTTCGGAGAGAGCGTGAGGCCTGGTTGACCAAGGTTTCATAGTGCCCCTGATAACCAGATCGTCAGACTGGTCATGCTTCTCTCTGGGAGACCCTGGCATTTCGCAAACATGGCTCCATCGTGGATTTGGCTCAGTCTTCGCTGTTCTTCCGACACCGCTCGACTGTACAGATGATTCTATTCTATGCCTATAGCCATGCCAAGATCCTTGGCACGGCCGCCTTTCCTTAGTTATCGTTGCTCTTGCCAGCTCTGTGCCGTGAAGCTCGGGCACGGGGCACTTTACATCCATTTGATGAAAGGCAAAGGGTTGTTTCTGGCGTTTCGCCCAGACATGTAGCAGATCCTTTCCTCAGACGAGACACATCCAGAGAAAGTACCGCCAAAATCAGAAGGCTGAGGAGAGCCGGGTTTGGGTTAGGGCTTTGGGGCTTTGGCAGATGTGTCCGTGGCCCCACGCATCTCCTGCAGGAGGTGCAGAAGCTCCGCTCAGAGGCCACTCTCGGTTTGCCCATTGCCTCGGGGCTCGGGATTTCAGGTGGGCGAAGGCCCAGCTTTCATGGAAGGTGTACGACTGCTGGAATTGGCATTAGAAGTAGGGAATTTCTGCAACGCTGAGGCCTCTGCGCCGTCCAACATGCGCACATTCGCTGCAATGTCGAAGCACTGGCAAGCAATCCAACCAAGCGATGACAAAAGCCAGTCAGTTCTGGTAGGGAACACAAGCATTCTAGTCAATGCAAGAAGAGACGAGGAACAAGAACAGCATTTATACCTCAACGAACAATGCCCAAAGCCGTGGCAGTAGCAGCATATGTTGAGAATACCAAGATGAGGAAGAGGCTGATGCTGGGAAGAGACACAGATAGGCATCATAACGACAACGATGGCCTAGTAACTGCAGACAGGCTTCCAATGGACACGTATTGCGGTCGTGTTTGTTCTTCACTGTCGCATTTCGGTTTCAGCGTCCTTGCCCGTCGCGTCATGGCTGCGCCGGTGTACCTTGGCGAGCATCCTGCATATACTGATGCTGGCAGAGATAAGCATAGCAAACACCGAAAACATGTCAGCTTATGATAATTACATCATGCGGCAAGTTGCTGCCGGTTATGACAGGTTCTGTTTGTGTCACCCATCATTGAATCATCAAGAGCATCAGTGCCATCAACGTTTTTGCTAACAGAGAGTCTCAAGATCATAGTCTGGGCAAGTTGACGCACTCTGATCCAATGAATGCCTTGAGAAGCACCACATGACATGGCGAAAGGGGTAATATCCTTGGTCGAATTACGTCTGTTTGTTTACCTGCCTCCCTTCCTCGCTCCTTGTGTCGGGTCATCTTTGTTAGTGCTGTTGGACTGGGCCACGCAGGCTATTCCTGTCCGCTTTCGCTTCTTCTTCGTTGTCGTAGTTGTTGTCGTTACTTTGCTAGCAGGTACGGTTGTTGTCGCTCCGGTGGCGTCGGCCGCCGGTGTCGGGTGCCGTTGTCGTCGCGGTGGCTGTTTATCTGCGTCTCTGTGTGTGCGTGCGCCCCCGTCGGCTGTTATTTGCTTGTTGTGGTGTTGCTGCTGTTGTTGTTGTTGCTTATGTTGTCGCTGCCGTTGTTTATGCTAATTACTGCCATCACTCCTGCCTTTCTGTTGCTGCTCCTGCCACTGATGCTGCTGAAACTTTGTTGCTGTTTCGCCTTGAAGTGAAGACTGTGACCTTCTGATATCAATCTTCTTGATGATCCCAGTCGTGTGAGTTCCAGACCGCCATCACGGCAAAGGAAGGCACATCCAATACCGCCGCCCCGTGGCAACGGCCTCGAGCGGGAGGCTGTCCAGACTGCCTGGAAGGCGAAGGCTCGATACACCGCTGCTGCCTACGTCGGTCATGTGCTTTCAAGCAGAGAGTGGCCTATCCAGCTCCTGCCCACAGAAGCACTAACTGACCGGGCTTTTCGTTCCAAGTTTCATGGGACCAACGCCTTAGGCGGCACGAAGTCTTCCTGGACCCCGCTGCCAGGAGCTTCAGCGCGAGGCCGGCAAAGTCGAGGCCAGGGGTGCGGAGCGGTTGGCCCGGAGCTGAGGACCCGGCGTCCGGGCACAGTCACCACCAGTCACCACCATCAGATGGTTTCTCGTGGTCTGCGTCGTTGTCCAGTTTCTTGTTGATCACGGACACCACTAATTAAACATGAAGATGAAGACCATGACTTTGACAGTTTTTGTGCTTGCGCTTGCCGAAGCTGTACTAGCAGTATCAGTAGCAGTAGCAGCCTCATCTCGGCAGCGGAGAGCTGGGCTGAGGTGCTGGCACAAGAGCGCTACCAAGCCTTCCGTGCCCAGCAGCAGAAGGCTGCAGCGGAGTTCATGCCGTGAGCTGCAGAGGTAGAGAGATTCAGACGCCGGTGTGTCCACATTGCAGGGTGCTCTTGTGTCTGCTGAGGGCTCAGGGATTAGGTCCTTAGGTGCTTGTGTTTAGCAGAAGATCATGACATCCAAGCGGGGATCCTTTGGCGCCACGGTTGCTGTGGGCTTAGCCCTTGTGGCTGCCTGGAGCTGCCTCTGGAGACATGAGGAGGACTTCGTGAGCGGTGTGTCGGTTCAGCCCCGCGAGTCTTTGGTGACTCGCTGCGCGGTGGACAAGGCGATGAAGGATCGCCTCGCGTCTGTGGCGAAGACCGCCAAGCTCACCGATGCCATGCGCGTGGTGGCCGCAGCCAAGGTCCGCAACGCCCAGAACGGCGTGGAGAAGCAGCGTCCGTTCACCGACGAGCTCCTGGGCATGATCAAGGGCCTCGTGAAGCGACTCAAAGGCAGCGGCTTTGAGGCAGAGCTTCCGATGCTGCGAGTGCCAGAGAAGGTCACCAATGTCGGCATCTTGATGATCACGGCAAATCGAGGTCTCTGCGGGGCCTACAACACCTTCGTCATTAAGAAGGTCAAGGCTCGTATTGAGGATCTTAACAAGCAAGGCATCGTGCCCAAGCTTTTCATTGTTGGCAAGAAGGGTTTGGCTGCCCTGCAGACGCGTCTTTCCAAGGGCCTGGAGTACAATTACACTGAAGAGTGGTTCACCATGCCCGACAGCATCAGGGCAAAGGACTCTGCTGAGATTGCAGAGGTCTTGCAGAACTACTTCTTGGCCGGAGAGGTGGACAAGATTGAGATTGCATACGGGCGGTTCATCAACTTGCTCAACAACGAGCCAACGATCCGAACTCTTCTGCCCCTCTCGCCCACGGGCATCGAGGATCCCGAGGATGAGACCTTCAAAATGACCACGGAAGACGGCAAGCTGAAGGTGGAGAAGGAGAAGGTGAAATCTCCTAAAGCCAAAGAGATCGAGGCGGATGTGATCTTCGACCAGCCGCCAGAGGTCATCCTGAACTCCATGCTCCCGCTCTATCTGAACTCGCAGATCCTCTCCTTGATGTTCGATTCGCAGGCCTCTGAGCTTTCATCGCGAATGTCTGCCATGAAGGTCGCTACGGACAATGCGAACGATCTGCAGAAGAAGCTCGTTCTCATCTACAACAAGAAGCGCCAGGCCGCTATCACTGCGGAGATTTGTGAGGTTTCCTCAGCCGCAGTGGCGCTGGAGGCAGATGATTCTGGCAAGGCCGGCCCGAACCTGGGTGTCATGGACAACGAAGACACCATCAGCGAAGACTTCATGCAGGAGTTGGAGGATGGCTCCATCTCGGCCAAGCCGCAGAAGCCCGAGGAGATCCTAGCGGGAGACCGCTGGGAGTTCATGAAGACGCTGCCCACGGGCGAGGGCAAGGACGAGGGCTTCTGAGACTGCGAAGTTGACTTCAAGAAGAGGTAGGGCATCTGGGTCCAATTCTGGTTGCTTCTTTAAGGAGCGACGACTTTTCACTGTCTGTATCTTTTCTCCACCAAGCTTTCTCCCCGGTTCGTAGTTGCGAGTGGCTGCGCAGCCTGCAAAGCATGAAACTCGAAAGATAGCCAATAGTAGAAGCCACGAGGCACAGGATTGTGGCAGAGCATCGAGCCAAGGATCATAGTATGTTGGAAGTAAACATGTAATTTAAGCAACAGACAGGATACGCCTGGTATCGAACAGTTTTTAGTAAATGGACGATGGTGTGGACGCACCCTCGACCAGCACATCAATGAGTGGCATGCACCGTGCGGAAAAGTCACGCATGACTGTGCAAGATGCGTGTTGCGCGTTGCTCTTATTAGTTGGAGGTATAGTGAATGGCTTTGAGCCCGTAGCCATGAGTCCGCTTACAGCCATATACCTTCAACAATTAGCATGATTAAGCAATGGGCTATATCTCTATATAACATGTGTATATATATATATATACATATGTACAATGTGTACACCTATTTTCTGTGCAGATATGCACATATTGTGTACAAAAAGTATGTCTTCACGAAGAGATGCATGTATGCCTGCATACGTACATGCATGCACAACGCACATGCACGGATTGAGACAAGCATGCGAAATGCACTGCCAGGCACGAGAGGCTGCAGCAGAAGCGCTGCGCCGCGACATATCCCGCGCCCAGGTCTACCATCTGTGGCAATTTTGACAATGTCTGGTGGTAATCTCCAGCAAAAAGATTCACAGTTGCAGCTCCTAGCATACTGTTAACCACAGCCCCAACTAACAGACCTGTAGCTTGTGACAGAAAGATACAGAATGTAGAGACGTAGAAATTCCATCGTATTAGTATTTGATGTGGAAGGTTGAGCTTTCCACTTGATAGCACGGTACTACACTGTATTCCTGTGGTTTGAGTGGACATGTTAAATGCTTACACCAACGTACCGCCACATCACTCATTAGTTTATTGGAGTTCTGCCTGTGAGGTTGTCACTCATTCTGGAACTACGTCTGTCGATCGTGCGGCTCTTGTTCCGGTACCACTGCATTTTGCCTCTGTCGTCCTAGTGTCTTGTTTCGCGTTGTTGCCATTCAAGCTGCCGGCCACTCCCATTATTCTGACGGTGGCTTTCGCTGTGCTGTCATTTTCTGCATGGCTGAAGTGTTGCATGAAGTTGCCCCGATCTCGAGTATTCGTCAGATTGCACCCCCTATGGTGACGGGCATGCCATGCCACCTTTGAATGTTGTGCAAAGCTCGTTCCTTTTTCCCAAGAACGCCTGGAAAACTTGGCAGGAGCACCTGTGGAGAACGCAGCTGAACACCGAAGAGTCCTTGCAAGACCTAGACACGCAGCGCCAGAGCTGGGAGGCGACCGCTAGATCAGACTTGCGTATGTCGCGGTACTTCCCAGCTGATCGGCCGAAATTGGGTTGCAATTCCAGAGCAATTGCTTGCATAAACGATTGCATAACTGGGCACAGTGCCAGCGCCAGAGGCGCATTGAGTCGGCTTGACTGCTGTTCACTCATGTCGATCGAACCTGTGTTTGTTTCATGCCGACATCTGCTGCAATTTTGCGATCGCCGTGGGCTAACAGTGTTAACAGTTAGCAATATAATACCGACAGCCGTTTTGCCACCGTGCCACCATGAGCCGACAGGCGGTTTACCGCCCTCCCATCAAGAGTTTCCCCTGTGAGAGCGGACCTGAATCTGTTCGTCCTTCGAGACTGCAGCGGACACGCTGTACGTCAGCCACCTTCGAATTTCGAAATACCTCAGCACAAGTTTACGGTCGCCAAGTCATGGGAAGTATTGTGCTTCTCCAGATCGGCGAGCTCACATCATTTCATTTCGTGTATGTGTAGAGTCTAGATGTATATATATATATATATATATATATAAGTATACAGTCGTGTAGATTCTGGAGATCTGCGTCGTTTCTATGCACACGGTGTACATTGCAACATTGCAGGGAAGGGGGTGCAATCCACGGTACGTTGTGTGTATACATACATGCATGCATGCATCCGTACCTATCTTTGTGAGTGTACTGATACATACCGCTTGTACCTGTCTCACGCTTGGCCTCGTCAGGCTGGGACTCCTGAAGTTCAGGGTTCCGGAGTCCCTTAGTTGAAATTCCTGAGCTCACACTCACCCTGTCGCAAGATGCCCGGGTGAGACTCTGAAGTGTGGCGCGTTGCCTCGGTTCGGGGGTTGGCGGGCAAAGCTCCCTGCTATGTTGTGTGCGTGGACGGGTACATCCGGAGTGACAGCTAATACGGGAAGGTCCTAACTTAAACGTCCAGCGAGTTTTGTCTTTGGGGTGTAACGTTCAGGGCCCGAGGCGCAGAGAGTGACGTCGAGGGGAAGCGCAGCGAAAGCCCTGAACATTCCAGAACTTCCCACGAAGTTGATGGCGCAGCTCAAGACCGTTCTTACTTTTTCCCCGTGTCTCGGCCATGATGTCCGATTTCAGTCCGTGCTTTCATGTCAGGAGGAGGAGAAAGACTCCAAGGTGGCACGTCAGCCTTTCGGTCGCAAGCGATGGAGGTACGAATGACAAGGATGCGATGATCTAAGCCTTCCTTTTGCTGTTGGGCCTTGCGTTTTTGCACTCCCATATGAGCTCTTCACATGTGCTGGGGCAGTGCTCATTTTGCCGGTCCCGCTTCAAAGCCGAGGAAAGCACAGCAACGCGTTTACACCGCGCGCGAGAACGTTCCTTGGATGTTCATTCATGAATCCTGAAAGTGCAGCAGGACACAGCAGACGGGCTGCTTTTCGCTTCTCATCATCGAGTCTAATTTTCCACAACCGTAAGCCCTTCACCCGGCATTCGTGGACGTGATATCGGATGTCTCGTTCCCGGATCTCTCAAATCCTGCTTGAATCTGACCCTGCAATGTGCGTCAGGTAGATGCATATGCGGCCCAAGCAGATGCCGAGGCTTCAGCTGAAGCTATTAAATTATTAAACGATAATTTGTAGGCTCCACTTTCCTGCAGTCGCTGCTCATTAGTAATTTTAGGACGTTGCTAACTGCGAATCTGTCAGCAGCTGCAGCGGCACCACCACAGCCACCACCACCACCACCGCCGCCCCACCCCCACCGCCACCGCCACTGCCACCCCCACCGCCGCCCCCACCGCCGCCCAAAACGACGGCACAGAAGAATGACAAGAATAGTCAACTCAGCGACAAGAGTACCTGCCACGACTCACACTGCCAACGCCACCGCCAGAGCTGCAGCCACCAAGATGGATGCGCAGATCAGGAAGCCAAGTTTGTGCATCCCTGATTCTCGGCAGGCCGATGCAGCTGCCCAAGCAGCCGAGCAGGCTCACTTTGTCAGTGCAGCCGTGGGGAGACTGCAAGGCTTCAGGGTCAGGGTCTTGGACAGTACGAAGAAGAAGTCTGTCTAGCAAAGCTCCAGCTGCGAAGTTCGACGACGCGGACCAGAACAAGTCCGAAACCTAGCAGGCTGCGCGGAAGCCACAGCGGCTCAAACATCTGTCTCGGACGGCCACAGCCACCCTAGAATACTGTCAGAATGGTATCAGTGGAAGCCGTTGCACAGCAGTTGTACGAACGCAGCCTACCTGACTTCCGGAGCACTCATGTTTCCGAGCCTCATGTGGCCTTGCCATGATGCATGCTCACTCGAGCCGGCAGTGCTCTCTCATGCCAGACACCCGACACCCACCACTGAAAGGAATCTTGAAGCGGCCGGGGCCCGGGGATCGCCGGAGGTCTCACAGAAAGACGAAAGTCCAGTGGGCACACAAGCTGTTGCGAGAGCACGCCACTCACGCACTCGAATCTCTAGACGAAGCGACGAAGGCAGAAGTCTTCTGGCCAGCAGATGCCAGTAAAGACGTCACCTGTGCTTACTGCGATGGTCGCGTCCTCGAAAGGCTCGTGTTCGTCGCGGAAAGCCCGGATGGCCAACGGGACCTGATTTGTCAACGGTGTTCGCAGGTGCAGCCAGGGCAGCTTATCTCCTCGAAGCCGGGCCGAGGAGGTGTGGGGTGGTTGAGATTCGACGGCGAGGAGCGGCCTCCCTACCGGCCATGCCCGATGGAAGTCGAGGAGCAGCTGCAGCTCTGCGCCAGACTCCTGCAGTCTCTGCAGCCTCAGAGAAGGCCTTCCCTCCTACGGCGGCCCTCAGCGGAAAGCCGTTCGAAACCTGCCCTGAGTCTCTTCAAGGTCTCCTTCGAAGGCGTGCGCAAAGTCGTCGAAGCCGAGGCATTGAGCCAAAAAGAGGCAAAAACGGAACTTTTCTGGAGCTCCGAACGGCTGCAGAGCCTCGTCTGTGCCAGCTGCGACAGTCTATGCAGGGCAGACAAGGGCTTCGTAGTCGAGTCCTACGATGGACGTATGGACATGATTTGTCCCTCTTGTTCCAGCGACTGGCCTCGTCATCTCCTTTCTTCAGTCCCAGGAGTTGGTGCTGGCTGGCTGAAGCTTCGGCACGAGCAAACGCCGGGGCTCCACCGCGCAGTTCCCGATGCTGACACCGAAGATGCTGTGACCGTGACAGAAACGGAAACTGAAGACGAGACGGAACCCGAGAACGAGAGCACCGAGGAGTCGGTTTCGCTCTTGTGGGTCAGTTCTGCAACTTCCCGGCGCACACAGACGGCCGGTGCATCGGATTCGACATGAGCGTCGCTATCGTTGCCCCGAGGTCAACCACATGAAATTATGATATTGTCATCGTCAAAGACGATGCCTCCCCACGGAATCAGTTTTGCACGTTTGCGGAGCGCGCGCGTTGAGACACAGCTCGAGAGCAGAAAAAGCACTTGCTTTGTCAAGAGCTGTGAGAAGATGCCAGGCCAGTAGATGCCAGTAGCCTACCAGCCACAAAGAAGCGAGAAGTCGCGGGTAGTCCACGAGGAGGTCGAGGGCTCAAAGGCCGCGGCGAAGGCAGCAGTGGCTGCACACCGAGACGATCGAAGCAGATTCCAGGACCGCATGTCTTCCGCCGGGATTTGGGATTATGCGACTCTGACGGTTTGAGGCTCGAGGTCTGGGCTAAGTGCATACTGCATAACCCGAATCCTGCATCCAAACAACTGGAGTGTTGCAGGACCACACCAGCAAGGATCTGGCAGCCAAGAAGGAGCAGGCCGAGTCCTTCGTCGAAGATGTCATAGCCAAGACGAAGTCTTGCCCCTTGGCTTGGCATTCAAGCAAATGAGCTGCCGCTTGCGACATCCCTCAAGCGTTCGTTGAGTCATGCCTCATGTACTCGACACTCGTAGCAGTTCCGAAGACTGGCCTTGCAAGGCATGCGTCAAATGGAAACCGAGCGGCACCATGCGGCCATGCACGTGGACCGCGGTGCAGTGCATAACAGACAGGGCAGCCTTCTTGTGCAACAGCAGGGCCAGCTTTGTCGAACGCTGCCGCCAGGACCTCGTGGCAGAGAGGCACCAGGCCACCAAAACAGAGGCTCAGGCGGCACCGGTGGCATTTCACGTCTTAGGCAAGGATCAGCTTTTCGAAATCCAAGACCGCGAGGCCCGCATGAAGCTGCATGAGGAGAAGTCGAAGAAGCAAGTCAAGGACACGAGTGGAAGGATGCTCACAAAATGCAGCGATCTCGTCCCGACACCTGTGACAAAGCTCTCGAAGCACAGGAGCTTGAGCACATGACGCACCAGCTTCGTCTTCGGAGCGATGAGGTGCCTAACGCTGCTCAGGGCTCGGGCTCGGAGGTCTTTGGGGTTGAGACATGGAGACCGAAAACCGACAGCAGACCAAAAACTAGACAAGCAGCATCACTAGTGGTGTGACAAGCGCTGTGCCAGAAGTGCCACTCGCCTTTATGCAACTCCAAACTCCAAGCTTGGGGCACCCTAGCTGCCCAAGCTTTCAAGGGCCTTGGTCTCGGGACTCAAGTCGCACAGAATCTGAAATGCAGGCACTGGCTGAGAAAATGGCAGGGACACAGCGGGAGCTGACGAGCGCAAAGGCCTTCTGTGCGCAGGCCAGCTTTGCGATTTGCATCCTGTCGGTTTTGCCCAGGTGGGTTTGGGTCCTTAGGTGGGGCGCAGGTCTGTCGGCAACCCGCTGCTGGATTTGTACCCCCAACCTCATCTTTAGAATGGATGACCCCACCAAACACTTCTGATATGCACTTATGTTCATATTGGCTAGCGAAGATAATTGCAGTGATGGAGCGAGCCTGAAGCTGGCAAGAAATTGGGGACACATGCCCGCTGAATGCAGTTTGACAGGGCAAAACTACAATTGCGTTCTATCCCGCTTTCCTGATAGTTTTAGGATCCAGCCAAATTTTGAAGAGATTGATGAGACAACAAACCACACCGGACATAACAGGAGTGACATGACAGAGCAGTCAGCCAGACAAAGTAAGAGGAGAGACTTGAAGACTGCTGCAAGAACCTCTGCACCGGAGCATTAGTGCAGTTCAGGGTTTACAGAACATGCACTCAGATGTGCAGAAATCGCGCAGTCAATGAGCATGGCGTAGTTCAGGGTCTGACAGTTTGCCGACAGATGGTGCCCAGAATCATCTAGAATCCCAACCTCATGCTTCACTCACACAGTCGTGTGGGTCTCAGTGGTCCACGGTCCAGGTCAGTTGTTATATTTCGCTCACATCTTGTTGATCGGTTCTTGCTCTCAAACCATTGACACCAGCTGGCCCCGGAAAGGTGCAGACGGACATGGCAGCTCGGCTTCGATTCCGCTGGTTCGGAGACAGCTTCCGAGATGTGACGTTCTGGCCATTTAAGTGATCCGCACGGCGCTGCATTCGCAACGACGGACCTGCCGCAAATCATGAACCGGAGCAGAGATGTTCTTAATCCAAGGTTGCGTTTCATCAGCAGCACTGTAGATTCTCGAATGCGGGGCGGGGCAATGCTGCTCTTGCGGGTGCGACCCGTATAGGTTCTAGTGCCCATGAGACTAGATTTCCCTCGAAACCCGAAAATCCTAAACACCGGGCAGCTGAGGAAGAGGCCATCCGTAGCACCAAGCTGGCGGCAATGAAGATCGAGGCTGGCTGCCTCGGACCTTCCGCCCGCAAGTCTTTCATACAAGTACAACTGGTGCCCGTATGCCAATGCCGACGCCAACCGGAACTCAAGTCATCAAATACAGAACCTACGCGGAGCCGACCATAGCACAGACGAAATTGCAGGATCTTGAACTATAGTATAATACATCATTCTGCATCATTCTCATAATATAGTTACGCAAACATATACTATAAGTACACGGATCTTGACACCTGACAAAGGCAGAAGCGGCAGCAAACACCTTCGAAGAGCAGAGCCGCTTGGCTCGAGGTCTTATATAGTTTTCTCGTTTTCTTTACTATACTATACCATTAGTAACATAGTATACCATACATTACCATACTAAACTTTTCTTTCTTGTGCTGTGCGGGCTGTACTGTACCGTGCAACCACATGATTATGGCATATTGACTTGTGCTCTATTCTTTTGCATGCTCAAGGTTGTCGAACGAGTCTTACACACGGGTTTTTGATGTAACCGCCGGTCTCCTGCTACCAGGATCAGCAAAGCTTGCTTAGCCTTAGTTCTCGTCCGAGGCGAAGTGGGGAAGGGGCATCAGGAGTTATCTTCGCCCGTCCATAGTACAAAGGCAGAGAGGGCTTAGCGCTGGCATCTCGTAGTTGTTACGCCGTTGAAGACATCTAGTGAGGGACGGGTGGCATGTTTTTGGGTGTTGTGGGTAGGGTTGTGACAGTGAGCGAGTAAACTGAGGAAAGCTGCAAGACTTGGAGAACAATGCTTTGCAAAGCTTCAAAGGACGTCCGACATGCTGTTTGCTTAGATCGAGGTTGTGATCCTGTGACCTATTGCGAGTACACTGGTCGTTGCTAGTCTTTGGATATTATCGTAATATTAACATAGTAACATACTAATAGGTATATTCATAATCATAATAATTGGTAGTAATAATAATAACAATAAATAGTCGTTGCCTGAAGTGGACCCTGGCTGAAGTTGAAAGCAGCCAGGAAGCCTTGAGGAAGCACAAGGCGCTTGGGACGAAACCGCTTCGCGGCGTAAAGCCCTGCAGGCGTGGATGGCTATTCTGCTTTTCGGGTCTTGAATCAAATTGGTTCTTCGAGCGCAGTTTGCCAGGAGGAGCTTGATGAGATCCATGCCCAGTACCAAAAGCTGCACGACGACACGCGATCCAAGACTGGCCAACATGTCACTAAAATGCTTAGCTACTGTCAGGTTCGTGATAGACTCAGATTTCTGTTTTCAGGAAGGCTGGTTACCTGACCTGATTATGACGGCCAAGACTCTAAGTAGTAGGCTTGCGCTGGTTGCCTCCGTCGTGATACTTTCAACTTGTCGTGATTTCTGCGCATGGTAGCTGGAATGGTCATCACCTGCCTTTCCCAAAGTGCTCTTCCAAAGCCCGCACCAAGACCTTGTGGGGCCTGGGCTTTTGGTTGATGACTCCACAATCCGCAGGATGACTTCGATCATGGCTCAGTGGAACGAGAGCCGTGAAGCCATGGAGAAATCCATTGCTGACTTCGAGGTAAAGCGGAAGGAGCTCGCCAATGGTCCTATCCCGTCAGGGGTCTGCACTGTTTGTTTCATGCAGCCAGCGGGATATGAAATTGTTCGGGGACGACGCTGCACGGCGAGCTCTGCAGCATTCCGTCGCCTTGTCTGTGCAATTCATGGCCGGCGTGGTCTGCAGTCTGTTTCTCAAATGATTTGCCTCTCCGATGTGTGGGAGCCTTTTCTCGCCAGGACGCCTTCGAAGAGCTGGAAGTCGTCATGCAGAGAACCAAGGAGAAACACCAGGCTGCAAACTGGAAAAGCCTGGCATGTCAAGTCAAGGCTTTGCCATTCGATCTGAACGATGAATGCAAACCGCAATAGAAAAAACAAGGCAGAGGCCACGAGAACCCCTCCCTCACCGCCGCCGCCGTCGCGAACACGATAACAACCATCAGCCTCATGCCCACCACCACAACCAGACCACAACGAACACCATAACCACAGCGACACACATGGTGCTATGCACGAGGGAAATAATTTGGATCGCAGAAGAGCAGTTGTGATGTCAACAAAGTTGATGGTGCTGGTGATAATGGCGACGATGACAATCAGATGCTGAAAAGAGTAGTGGATATGATGACAATGATGGTGATGATGGTGATGATGACTTTGAGCATTAGGAGATGCTGCCGCTGTTGTGTTTGCTATTGCTCCTGACGTCGATGTCGTTGTCGCGGTCGTCGATGTGGCTGTTGTTTGTTGCCGTTTGTTGTAGGTGTTCGTTGTTGGAGTGTAGGGAGCCTTGCTTCTCGGATGCTGTGAAGTCCTCCCCGACGAGTGACCGACTCCAGTTCTCTGCAGTAGAAAGTTATGCGAGAAGCAACTCTCCGTTCGCTCGCTCGATCACTCCCTCGCTGGCTCACTCGCTGGCTTGGTTGCTTGGTGGGTTGGTTGTTGTTACTGGCTATAAAGAAGAAGATACTCGTAATGATGTTTTTATGTTGTGGATGTAGTAGTGATGGTAGCGCTGACAAGATGGGTTGTTCAATGGTCGGGTAAGACGGGTTCTGGGGACCCAGTTTGAAGGATCGTGATCGGTTGGGCGGACTTTATGTCAAGATTGAAGCCTTTCCGTGGCTGTGATAGCTGCCCAGACCACATCTGCCACCGTTTGGGCTAGACGCGAATCCCTAGTTGACTATTCTTATGCGGTCTGAAAGGATTCATCAAGCGCCCCGAAAATGGCCCCAAAGCGTCCATACACTGCCACCCTGATGTTGTGTTGAGTGAAACATCGGGGCAGGTGCAAAATCAGGCCATACGGCAGAATTGCGTCCACGCCGTGACTGAGCCGCGGACTGAGCACTTCTTGTAGTCATGCTACAACAAAGGCAAAAGTTCTGGTTCTTGAACTGCTGCTGCTACTGCTATTGATTCTGCTGTTGCTCTTCCTCCCGTTGCCTGCTGATACAAGTAGGAGTAGAACCCTGGTCGTATTATGTGATAGTGATGGTGATTTTTACGGTTCTTGTAGAGATGGGACTCCTACCGCAGGCGCTAGGAAGTCACTATTGCAGCCCGTGTTTGTGAAATGTGGCTCTTCGTTGCAGCCAACGGCGAATCTCGTTGGTTGAGGTCGTGGCTGTCGTTTCCTATTCCTTCTAGTCAGGCTAAATCGAGCATCAAAATGGTGTCTCATCGACGCCAGGTTACGAAGGCTCGTTGAAGCCTTGCCCTTGAAAAAGTCCACGAACAACCCAAGACTCCGACCTTGCATTCAGCAAAGTTGTGCCAGATTCCTGGCTCAAGCGCGCAGCGCCAGCAGTCGTGCCCCGTGGATTTCCAGCCTTCTCCGTTCAGCTGCCAGGCTCCATCAGCATTTCCTTGCGAAAGACCTGACCTATCAGGTGAACTTGCTTGAAGTCGCAGTAAGTAGTGGACTTGCCAACTGCTTTTTCGAATTCGGATTGCAATCTTTTTCAGTGGTCCCCCCAGGTGTCTGTAAGATGTTGCACGAGTTGGAATTACCCATCTCTACACCACCTCGAGCGCTTCAGATTCGTGCACACGCATTTTTCTGGATGAGATCCTCAGGCCGTCAGTTTCGTGAATGTCCGATGCCATGGGCCATCCAACCCCTGCAGGGCTCGGACCCCACCAAACTTGCAGAGCCCAGGAATGACGCAGTCCCGGCTGTTGCCAACGGTGCTGCTGGCCGCCTCGTCATGGCTCCTGATCTCGCTCTTCGGTTCCCAGCAGAGCCTTGGCGTGGCAAGACAGACAGCGTCTGGCAACACCGGTAAATCCACTCGGAACTTCAGGGAAGTATGGAAAGCTTTGTGCTCTGCCAATTTCGCAGAAGTGAAGGACCTCCTTCCTGACGGGCACTTCTCCAGCGGGATCTTCTCGCCAGAGCCGAACTGCCATGCGAGGGTTCAAGGATGACTTCTACGCATGGAAGGATTCTTTGAGCAAGGATGAGCAGGCCCTGATCCTGAAGCAGGCCCAGAACGAGTTCGACAAGAAGTTCCGCAAGAGCGACGAGTTCAGCCAGGACCTCCCTGAGGAGAAGATCCAGTCCTTTGCCAAGGTCCTCAAGAAATTCTTCGACAACGCATCTTGGCTCGGCAGTTCGTTTAGGTCAAACAGGTCGTGTCAGTACAAGAGCCCGAAGAGAGTCCCTTCAGCAACCTGAAAGAACTCACTTGCGTCCGAGGAAAAGGATGACTACAAGAAGGCTGTGCCCGGGAAAGTCGGGGGGGGGGCCTCTTCACCGGGGTTGTTTCGTAATAGCCGTGGATGTCTCGTCATGATTGCTGCTGCCGGCTGAAGCAGAGAGATTGGCAGTAAAATCATGGAGCTACAAGGTTCCTATTGTAAGGAAGCATGTTCGTCCTAAGTGTCGTGGTCTGTCGTCGCAATCTCCAGCGCGGCACCTACACCACTACCGCTAGCTAGCTGCAATCGCAGGACGCCGACCAGAGGACGCCCGACTACGATGCGCTGAAGAACAAGGCGGCGCTGGTCTCCTACGACTTCGGCCTGAAGCGACGCATCGTGGAGATCGATCGTGACGCCGACCGCCGCTGGATGTACGCATCGATGACGGCTCGCGCGGAAGAGGCCGAGGGCAAGACCCCCTCGGACAGCGCCCCTTTCGAGGATTTGTACAAGTTCTCCAAGGAGACCGCAGAGACCGTCCACAAGTTCCTCGCCGAGGCCAACAGCGCTTCCAGCGCCCCGGCCGGCCTGAAGAAAGATATCGAGAAAGTTCTTAAAGAGAACCCGCCCTCGGACGACTTCAAGGTGCGCTTCCCTCGCGTGCTGCACGAGCGCTTGGCCAAGAAGATGGGCTCCTTGCAGAGGGACCCCCCTGCTTGCTTTCCACCGCTTTCTTTTTTCCGGCTTAGCGAGCTGCACCGGTGGCAAGCCTAATTCTCGTCCATCCATGCGTGCTCGCATGTCTGCTTGCAATCTGTGTCACGCAGGAGATCGAGGACTTCGCCGCGAACCACTCCGAGGCGGAGACCAAGGAGTTCAAGACCCGAACGGCGCCGGAGGAGCTCCTGAAGACCGCTGCCGAGGTCATCAAGCCTTACTATGAGGCCCGCGAGGCCAACGAGAAGAAGGTCCAGAATCTCAAGGCCTTCTTCGGCTCCCAGAAGGACGCGCCCGGCAAGACGAAGGCTCTCTAAGTTGTGCGGTTTGAAGGCCGCTGCGCATGCCTCCTGCTGTAGACTCCTTTCGTCGTTCATGTCTGCTGTGAGGCGGACATCGTCAAGGAGATCTTCAAGGTGATGCCGAAGTTTTCGGACACTCCGCTGCCGCCTTTGGACGAGGAGATGCTGGCCGACCTGGCCAAGATCCCTGCCAAACTCGATGGCGAGTGCCAGCCTTGGTAGTCTGTGTCTTCTGTAGCATGTCGTGCCTAGTGAAGGGTCGGGTAGGGGTAGTGGCCTCAGCCGAGCTTGCTTTGCAAATGGCGCGTGTCAGGTTCAAGCACAGCTGGGGTACCGCGGAGAAGCTCTACAAGTCCGAGGCCATCGACTCCTTCGGCAACAAGTACCTCCTTGGTGTCTACGAGACCGTGAAGGAGGCCGAGAAGGCTTTCGACGAGTGGAACAAGGAGCATTTTGGACGCAAGCAGCCTTTCCTTAGATTTGTCTGACCAGCGTGTTTCTGTGGTTCTCATTCATTACAGCAGCATCTTTGCCTTGCCTCAGAATCGGATAATCCAATCCCCAAGCTCGTGCAAAGCGAGCCTTGCCCCTACGGGCTTTGGAACACGACACTCAGGTACGAGCAAGCCGGTGCTGATGTCCAGGAGTCCCTCAGTGGCTGGGCCAAGCAGCAGGAAGCAGCGCTTGCCGAAGACCAGGCCGGTGCAGCTCCGAACACTTCGCATGCCTTGTGATAAAACCATCGCTGGGAGTAGCGGCCTTTCTACTGTAGGGATCACATCCGGACTTAAATGGGTGCGTTCGTCCTGCGAGGATGAGGTGGACCGCCTCCGCAAGGCGCTCGAGGAGGCACGCCGCTGAGGAGCGCCTGAAGAGGTGGGGCCGAGTAAGTCCCTGCCTTTGCAGGGCGGGAACGGGCCCCGTCGGGCAGACATTGTTGTGGCCGGGTTTGAAGCAAAGGGGTCTTTGGAGTCATAGGACAGGGCATCCAGGAGGCACCTCTGCATATACAATGAACCCGATGCATCAAAGTCAATGTGGAACTGGGCTGCGACATCGTGAGGCATGTCGTAGGTTTCAGTCAAATCTGGTTCTCAGAACTTGAAGCTCGAAGACATTTCCAGGGATCCGGGTTTATCAAGCGAGGAGACACAAGATCAGAGCCAGCTCACGGTCAAGCCCACACTGCACACAAAGCCCTTTCAAGCATCGCAGGATTTCGGGTTTCTAGTCTTTTACAACAATGGCTGCAACACGGGAGTCGACAGCCCATGGTCTCGAGACCGACGTAGCAGGGCACCGAGACGCCGATTCGTCTCGGATTAAGTTCTTCACCGTTGCATGCGCCTACGCGCAGTGAGCAGTTTTTGTGGCCGATGGTCATAAAAAAATGACAGCCAATGGCAGTGCAAAATTTTCTGCGCCGCCTGGCAATGCCTCGTTTGCAGCTGGGAACTTGGGACTTGACAGGCTAAGAGAGGCTAGGGCAATGTTCGAGCTCGTCTGCAGTTTGTCTTGGACAACAGCAAGAACCGTGAAAGATCCGCCGAGGTGCAAGGAAGAGTCGGAGAAGGTCGTTTTCGCTACGTACGAGGTGTGGCACATGGTGGGATTGGGGCTCCTGCCCTGCCTTGATTGCGAGCCTGGGCGGTGCTGTCGTGAAAAAAGCTTTCAGCCAAGGCCTAGTACGCGCATGCACATATGCGCTTACTTAGACTTACTTCTGCACGTGTGCACGTGCATACATCCAAAGAAAGGAAACCATATCATGTACATGATATACATGCAAACACATAAGCAAAAACAAGACACAAACAACAGAAATAGATATGCATAGACACATACACATACACATACATACATACATGCATAGACATACAGTAGGCATTGCGGTAGATATTCGCGTGCACAAACAACCTCATCGTGAGGCCGCCGTGGATGCTGCACGTGCGGAGGAGGCAGCTGCCGCTGCTGCGCTTGCAGAGGCCCCCAAGGTTTTGGGGAACTCGCGCTTAGCTTCTCCAAAACTGCTGAAACGGTGTCTTTCGGGAAGCTGCAGCATGCCAGCTGGTCGAACCTGCTTTTTGGGACCAGATGTTGTCCAGGGATGTCGGGAAGCAGCTCTGACTCCTTGACACCATCAGTGACACGAGCGCAGTCAAGCAAAAGTGCATCCAAAGTCAGGCGCAGAGATGGAAGGATCAAATACCGGCCCGGGTCTGAGATGCGGCAATGAGGAAGCTACCACACTTACGACGATGACTACTGGTTGTCATGACTGATAACAAGACACTCACTGGCTTTGCAGTTTGCAACCAGACGAACATGGCACTATTTCCCCTGCTGCGGCTGCCATGTCGTAGATTCATGACATGGTTGACGAAGACACGGATGGACTCGTGGCGAACGGGCAGTCATGACGACACGATACGAAAGGTTTAGGGGCCCGGGCTTCATGTCAGGTGGCTCGTTCTTTCTACACTCGGATTCCTGATCCGGCGTGCTTTCTCTGGTGAATGTGTGCAAGGTGCAGGTACCTGAAACGGAAGTCCTTCTTGGGAACACCTAATGTGCTTCTGCAGCCTGAGAAGTCAACCTGTTTCTGTAAAGTGTGAGTGCAGACATGTTCACAAGAATCTCCGTAAACCTTACACTGTACAGCCGCAGCCAATGCCATGGCAGCATTAGCAAGCATCCTTCAGTGTGATCGTCGGTATCCTGAGTCCAAGCAGCGACTTTTTTGGTTTGCTGAGGGCCTGGAAGGAGAGGCTGATGCGGAGATCGAAGCCTTTCTGGCCGAGGCGGCAGTGCAGGAGGCTCGTGGCACGTGGCAAGGGCTTCGGTGATCTCGGCGCCCTTTTGGCATTGAGTCGCTTCTGTGTTCAAGGAGCAGCTGCGACGGGACTCCGAAGCACAAGCCTCTCGACTGAAAAAGGAAACATGTGGTGAAGCTGCATGGGTCGAGGCTGTCTGCGCTCCCCTCTCCTGCGATGTGTTCCATGTGGCTAGGGCCATGCGACGACGTTTAAAACTGCCAGGGACAACTAATACAGCAGCTAGTAGTTGTTTGCAACAGCAACAACTACTACTTTTGCCACTGGTCCTGGTGCTGGTGCCGGTACTAGTACTAGTACTAGTACTACCTATTAAAGTGCAGTGTTGCTGGGTTCAGTCAGGTACAACGGTGAGGCACTGATTGGGACTGCTGACAACTACCACTCGTACCACCTTGGCTGTTGTGTACAAATGAAGCTTCGACCCCTGATACTTTTGAGCACAGCTCAGGTGAACCTGTCGAAGTATCTCGGAAGCAAATCCCCTGGTTAACTGCTTGTTTCCTTCAGGTATGGTTCAGCTTGGTAGTGGTCGGAGAGAAAGAGGAGCCCCCCTGGCAAGGCTAATCTCCAGGAATCCCCAGCTCAACCTGAAACCAGCTTCCTCTTCAGGATCAGTGTCCATACGACCAGATTTCTTTTTCGCCGACATTTGTCTTGCAAGCACATCAATCGTAGAAGCTCAGGCGGCTCACGCTAACAGCTCACGAAGAGGAGAAGGCGCGCCCTGATTCTTGTGAACAAAAACTCACAGCACGGTGCAGGTTCTTGTTTTAGTGATGCACTTGTTTCTGCGCAGGTCTACATTGCTGAAACCTCTGCTGCCTGGGCTCGGGTGCGGAAGGCAGTCGGAGAGTCTCATCTTCATGTACTGGCGGAAAACAAGATCCAAAGCCCGTAGAGGCAATCAGCATAGTATTTGTATACGTCTGTACGCATGCATGCATGCATGCATGCATGCATGCGTGTGTGCAAGCTTTCTTGTTTGCTTACACCTGCTCGGGTCACGATTCTTCAGCCGTTTCAGAGTTTCAGATATATTGCTCACGTCTAGGTACATATACACATCGGGGGAAAAGTGAGTTACAGTCCAAAGTTCATTCACACGACTGGGAACCGCTCGCTCAATTGTGATGGGGCTGGGCTCCACAAGCGGGCTCCGAATAAGTGTACCTTGCACCATGAGTGCGCAGGCCTGTTATCAGCTGCGCTTGGCGAGTCTACATGAACCTCGACTGCATTCGGTGATTCGGTCGTCTTTGGCGGGGTGCAGCACAGGCGGACACCTACACGGGTAGGCCCGCATCCTGTACCCCTGCTGGCACCTTCTGTGCAGTTCGGGGCGATGGTCAGGGCTTCGGGAAACGTTCGGATGGAAGTAGGATGAGAGGATTTCACTCCAGGACTTCGCGAAAGGCATTGCTTCGGGCGGCTTCGACCAGAAGCTGAAAATGGACGACGAGTAGGGTCTTAAAGCCTCTGGATCGGGCGACTTCTCACAAGCTTTCGGTTTCCTGGCGCTGAACTGCAGCCCAAGGCCTTCCTGTTCCGTTTCAGTCAGAGGGAAGAAGACCTTCGCTCTGAAGCCTTCGTCCCTAGCTCTTCCTGTGGGAAGCATGGGGAGAAATGGCACGGTGCCCTGAGTGTTCCATCCGAAACGGCTCCTACACTACGGCACTACGGCGGCTGTTGAAACAGGTGTGCACTTCAATACACAACCGAAACTCTTGATGATGGCACGGCAGAGAGGGAGATAGAACGAGAGACAACATTTCGGATGTTTGGACACGGGTGGAAGCCGGGCGGCCCTGGAGTTTCACATGGACACTGCCATGTTTGCGAGTAACAGCATGGCACTTGCATTCGCTCGCTTACTGCCGCTTCTGCCTGAGCATGTTGCAGCCTGTTGGATGCTCAAGCGGGCGTAGCCCCCCTTCGTCCAAGCTGCAGTCCCCAGCCATGCGCGGGCGGCCACCATGTTGCCACTGCAGCTGTCCTCAGCTTCAGCTCAAGTTGACTGCTGTGAACAAGGCCAAAGGTGGGATTTATGTCTCTGCAGTGCAGAATGACGGAGGCACTACGGATTGAAGCCGGACTTAGAGGTCGTTTTGTGCCTGGCCCAGCTGCTTTGCACTGAGTGTTTGAGTTCTGGCTCATTCGGAGCGGGATCTCTCTGCAATATGTATAATGTATACATACATATGTCCTAAGATTGAGGGGGACGCATGTCGCACTCTTGATCAGCCCACAGACACACCAGCCCCCTCTAAGCAGGGAATGTTCCTGTCAGTATTTGTGGAAGCCACATGCAACTTCAGAGGCGTTCCTCAATTCAGAGGTCGTGGAGTTTCTTGGGGCTCTGCAGAGGTGTTCTCCAGGGTTGTACAGGGGCCAGCCCGGCGAACCGTGTAGGCCAAAACCCCTTACAGGATCTACGCAGGGAGTCTTACAAGCCGCAAACGGATCCCAACAGGCATCCTGCCGTTGCTGGGTTAATTAGATCCTGCTTCCTTCAGCGATCTTCAGCGCAAGACACACTCTACATGTGCTAGCCCCAAAGCAACCCTCACCGAACCAGTCGTGACCCAGGAGATAATTCGTCTCGGGTTTCTATAGCCATTTTCTTATAGGTGTATCTTCACACATTGATCTACATCAGTTATGTACTGTTTGCACGGAGTTTTGGCTCGAGCGCATTTCCCCTGGCCCCCCGTTTCTCCACAAAGCCGCTTGACTATGTCTACTAGGAGACACACGATATTGACGCACAGAAATGCCATACGGCTGATTGTGACTCATCTCTCACATTGTCCTGGGTTTGTCCAGTCAGGGTCGTTCTCATTATTGGGTGCTCGTCGGGGGCTTTGGTGAGAACATGCCAGTAGGATTGGAGAGTTGTTGTTTGTAGTTTTAACGCTACGCCGCGTGCCTCGGCTTGCCGAAGACCGCACTGTGACGGAACTCATCGACTTGCTTCTGTAATGTCAGAGAGCAGAGCGGATGCAGAAGGTGGGAGGAGGACCTTGGGCGATATGCGTTTGACGGAAATGAGGGAGGATTAGGTGGAGGGTATGTGAGCTGATCCCCAAGACGCCTGGGCCTGTGGCCCGGCGGATTAGTCCTCTGCTGCTGTAGCAATACAGAAACGGCATATACCCACACATTCGAACGCACAGTGGAATGTGACCAGACCTTCTACACCGCCGCCCCATTGCACCGATACTGCCGGGGTTGGATACTCTGCGAATCTTCCAAATTCGTAATAATGTTGGCTGAAACGGAAGCCGCCCGATGTGGCACAGGTCAGGGATGACGCAGTCTCGGCTTTTGCCAACGGTGCTGTTGGCCGCCTCATCATGGCTCCTGATCTCGCTCTTCGGTTCCCAGCAGATCCTTGGTGTGACAAGACACGCCACCGGTAAATCGAAAAATGTTGAAAGCTTTCTATTCTTTATTTCCTAGACTTAAGCTCAAGCTCAGGACGTCCTTCCTCACGGGCACTTCGCCAGCGACATCCTCTCGTCAGAGCCGAACCGCCATGCGAGGCTTCAAGGATGACTTCTATGCATGGAAGGATTCTTTGAGCAAGGATGAGCAGGCCCTGATCCTGAAGCAGGCCCAGAACGAGTTCGACAAGAAGTTCCGCAAGAGCGACGAGTTCAGCCAGGACCTCCCTGAGGAGAAGATCCAGTCCTTTGCCAAGGTCCTCAAGAAGTTCTTCGACAACGAAGCTCGGTCTGCATGCAGTTCGATTGGGTCGTGTTTGTATGAGAGCCCCGAAAGAAAAGAGTCCCTGCAGCAAAATGAAAGATTCCTGCTTCCGAGGAAAAGGACGACTACAAGAAGGCTGTGCAAGGGGAAAGTGGGCGGCTGTTCTACCGCGGTTGTTTCGTACTGGCCATAGGTGTCTCATCTTTGACTGCAGCCGAACGAAGCAGAGACTTTTCAGTAAAATCATGAAAATCATGGAGCTAGAAGCTCCCTATTGCAAGGGAGCATATTCTTCCTCCTTGTCGTCCTCCGCCGTCGCAACCTCTAGCTCGGCACTTGCACCCCTAGCTCCAACCGCAGGACGCCGACCAGAGGACGCCCGACTACGATGCGCTGAAGAACAAGGCGGCGCTGGTCTCCTACGACTTCGGCCTGAAGCGACGCATCGTGGAGATCGATCGTGACGCCGACCGCCGCTGGATGTACGCATCGATGACGGCTCGCGCAGAAGAGGCCGAGGGCAAGACCCCCTCGGACAGCGCCCCTTTCGAGGATTTGTACAAGTTCTCCAAGGAGACCGCAGAGACCGTCCACAAGTTCCTCGCGGAGGCCAACAGCGCTTCCAGCGCTCCGGCCGGCCTGAAGAAAGATATCGAGAAGGTTCTTAAAGAGAACCCGCCCTCGGACGACTTCAAGGTGCGCTTCCCTCGCGTTCTGCACGAGCGCTTGGCCAAGAAGATGGGCTCCTTGCAGAGGGACCCTTCTGCTGGCTTTCAACTGCTTCCCTTTTTCCGGCTTAGCCGGCTGCCCCGGTGGCAAGCCTAGATGTTGTCGTCGTCCATCCGTGCGGGCTCGCATGTCTGCTTGCAATCTGTGTCACGCAGGAGATCGAGGACTTCGCCGCGAACCACTCCGAGGCCGAGACCAAGGAGTTCAAGACCCGAACGGCGCCGGAGGAGCTCCTGAAGACCGCTGCCGAGGTCATCAAGCCTTACTATGAGGCCCGCGAGGCCAACGAGAAGAAGGTCCAGAACCTGAAAGCCTTCTTCCGTTCCCAGAAGGACGCGCCCGGCAAGACGAAGGCTCTCTAAGTTGTAGAGCAGATTTGTGCAGTATGAAGGCAGCTGCGCGTGTCTCTGCTGTAGACTCTTTTCGTCGCTCGTGTCTGCGGTCAGGCGGACATCGTCAAGGAGATCTTCAAGGTGATGCCGAAGTTTTCGGACACTCCGCTGCCGCCTTTGGACGAGGAGATGCTGGCCGACCTGGCCAAGATCCCTGCCAAACTCGATGGCGAGTGCCAGCCTTGGTAGACTGCGTATTCTGCAGCATTCCGTGCCTAGTGAAGGGTCGGGTAGGGGCAGCGGCCTTGGCCGAGTTTGCGTTGCAAGCGACGCGTGTCAGGTTCAAGCACAGCTGGGGTACCGCGGAGAAGCTTTACAAGTCCGAGGCCATCGACTCCTTCGGCAACAAGTACCTCCTTGGTGTCTACGAGACCGTGAAGGAGGCCGAGAAGGCCTTCGACGAGTGGAACAAGGAGTACCCTGGACGCACGTATCCTTCTTTTCAGTGTCCATCGCGACTCAAGTGTCAAGACTTGTGCAGTGTAGAAGCCACCAAGACGATTGCAGCGGGGAAGTTTCTACTGTACCTATACTATACGTTTGCACCAGCTCAAGTCATGCCCATGTCCGCACAAGGCGGATAGGTGCGAAACCCTTCTCTTATAGCGCTGAGAGAAGCCATGCAAGTTACTAAGGTACGAGCAGGCAGGGGCTGACGTGCAGGAGTCGCTGAGCGGGTGGGCCAAGCAGCAGGAGGCAGCGCTCGCCGAAGACCAGGACTCGACCGGCCTATGGAATTCAGCGGAAAGCTGTGGTGCATTTGGATCGAAGCCTTTTGTTCTTGGAATTGGTTTGCATTCTCCCCCTTACATGATCTGTCCGAGAGATTGTGGAAGAAGGGTTGGGATTTCCGCCCGTCCATTCCATTTTCTGCCCAAGCCCCTCTTTCGTAGCTTAGGGTAGGACCGGGTAAGAACTGCCGGGAATGTGTCGACCTTCGGGGAACAAGCTCGAAGAGCTTATTCATCTGTTTCCTTTTCGGCGGATCCCTTGCCAGGATGAGGTGGACCGCCTGCGCAAGGCGCTCGAGGAGGCTCGCCGCTGAGGCGGATGCGGTCCGTGAAGCCGCGACTCAGAGGTTCCCGCGACTTCACTAGTAACTGGAACACTACCATGCACCTTCTTCAAGTCACATGCTTGCATGTGCTTTGGAGATGAAGGGCTGCACGAAATATCAAGACAGCACTGGTTCTGACATCACGCATTATATATGTCATGCTATGTCTTAGTGTTCGTATTACAAGTTTGCCAAGCGCCTGGCGAAAATGCATGCAATGCATGCTGCACAAGTTCTTCACCGATGTAAGCGCTCGAGCGCAGCTCTCCAGTTTTTGATCTCGAATAGACAAGGCGCAGAATCGCGCCAAAAAGCATCCGAGAGGATGGATCGGATAGAGCGGTAGAGAGAGAGAGAGAGAGAGAGAGTGCTCATGATATTGCATGTGTCGAAATGCGAACGACAGGACACAAATCACCGCGTAACATTTTATGGCTGTAGCCGAGATTGTGTCCATCGTTCATTCGTCACCCCTCGATCCCATCAAAACGATGGGGGGGCATGATGCCCGAGGGCGTTGACCGCGCCCTCATGCCCAGGAGAGAGAGAGAGAGAGAGAGAGAGAGAGCACTTTGATGTGGCTGGAGCTTTTTTTTGAGGGGGGCGGGGGGGTGGGAAGGTTGGTCCTTCTCCCTTAGTTGTCACGAAAGCTGGCTCTGTGGAGCTTGCGGGAGTTGTCGTTTGACAATTCCCGCTAAGTAGTAATGACCCAGGTCAAAATCGTGCCCAGGACCTCTTGTCTAAGCAACATGGCAGCCTGTATTTTGTCTTCAGGCGGCGGAGTGGTCTGATGCTTTAGTTATTGGCTAAGCTGCTACGAGGACAGGTCGAAGCTGCTCGTAGATGACGGTGGTATTGGTTCATGCAGGGACATTCCGGAGGGCGATGAGGTTGGTCAAGCTACTACGAGAAGGGTGTAACTGTATCTTGTATCGACTCTGCTTCCTTTGTTTGCCGTAGCTGCCACGGGGTCCCCTTCTCAAGTAACTGGAGATGCACGGATATCTGCAAGAGACACTGCAGAGGCCAGAGCATGCCATATGCCAAAACGTTCTGTAGGCCTTTGGCTCAAGCACGCAGCAGAGAGTTTTTCCGGAATTGTCCCGAGCTCTTGATCCGGCCACTCAGCAGCAAGACAGAGTGCAATCTCCTCCGCTCCCTGAAGGCAGACAGGTACTCTAGGCAAAGGTATCGTGAGTATTGAGAATATCCAGAGCCACAGTTTGCCGCAGTCATTGTCACTGTTGCTACGGGTGTGGTGCGGTTCTCAGATTTCAGGCCTACTGCCTGTCTAGCAGTGCTGACACTAGGACCATCTAGGACCTATGATTATGTACAACAGCAATTAAGGCCCTGTGACAGTAGGTGGCAAGCGAAGCAATGACACCAGTGGTAGCAATTAATGTAACAGCAGTGCTTCCGCAAGTGTTGCACGATCACCTCCAACGCTGGTGATAGCTTGCGTCGCAAAAAGTCCTAGGCTTGGTAAGCTAGTCTTTCCCGTGGCTTTGTTTGCCGGCTGGTTGGGTCTCTTTACTGCGAGATCACGGAATGTCAGCACATCGGTGATGCTATTCGCAATTCTTTCTGGTCAACTAGTCGTTGCAACTAGGGTCCAACCCACGAAGCACCAAGAACAGCCGAGGGATGACTCAGTCTCGGCTGCTGCCGTCGCTGCTCCTCGCTGCCTCACCCTGGCTCCTGGTCTCCCTCGTGGGATCCCAGCAGCTTGTCATGGCACAGCTACTAAACAGAGCAACGGACGTGAGACGAAGAAGGCTGCTAGTAAACAAACAGGTAAGACAGGAATCAGTCAGCAGCCTTGAGGGCAGAATTGGCAGAGTAAGAGTGGGAGTAGGGGGAGGCGAGGAAGTAGGAGCAGGAGTAGGAGATTGTAGGAGTAGGCGCAGTAGGAGCAGTCGTCGTAGAAGCAGTAGTCGTAGTCGTAGTAGCAGCAGTAGTAGTAATCAGAGCCAGGAAACACCCCCTACTCGGCCCACTTATTTACATTAGGTTCTTCATTTTTAATAAACGAAACCCCGGAATCCCCAACGACGTCTAGACCCCTAAACCCTGAACCCAAACACCACCTTTTTCCAGAAAGCCTGAACCCCTAACCCCTAAGCCCCGAACCTAAGCAGAGAGCCTACACCTCCAACCCCCGAAACCCCTAGATAAACCTCCCAAACCTCAAATCCCCAAACCCGGCTTGCTTCAGGGTTTGGGTTTAGGGTTTTATAGGGTTTCGCGCTTTAAGCTTTGAGAGCTTCAGGGTTTCGAGTGTTAGAGGTCAGCGTGGTTTCAGCGTCCCTAAGTTCAACGTGGTTTGAGTCTTTGTGGTTTGGGGCCTTAGCTTCTGCAATTTTTGGGATTCAGTGCTTGGGGCTTCAGGGATTGGGGAGAGAGAGAGTTTCAATTTTTGGGTTTGGGGGGGCAGGGTTTCAGGGTTTGGGGCTTTACAGGTCAGCGTTAGGGTTTCAGGGTTTGGGGCTTTAGAGTTTGAAGGTTTAGGTTTGGGGCTGGCTACAAGCTTAGGGCCTAGGGTTTCAGGGCTTGGGGCTTTAGAGGTCAAGGTGGGTTTCAATCCCTTACGTCGGTAGGTAGACAGGTCGGTGGGAAGGTAGCGAGGTATGGGTATCTAGCTCCGTAGGTACAGGCTTGGTAGGTAGGTATGTAGGTGTTGGGGATTCGTGCTTTTGGGGTTTGGGGTTTGGGTTCCGGTTTAGGGGTTCAGGGTTTGTGGAGTAAGGGGTCGTTCCGTTGTGCTGGGCTTTGGTGTTTGCGATGTGCGGTTTCGGGTTTGAAGGGTAAGGATCTTTGGGTTCGGTGGTGAGGGGTTCCGGGGTTTTGCCGCTTTGCCTGTAGGAGCTAAGTTCAAGGCCTAAGTTTGGAGTCCCTAAAGCTGCAGCTCAAAGCCCTGGAGCCAGCGGGAGGGCTCGAAAGCCCGGCCTGGGCCGCGCCCGGGACCCGACCAGTGCTTTTGGCCTTGTCCCCGATGCCCGTATCAGATTCGTGGCACCAGAAAACAGGTGAGCAGCAACCCGCTACACACAATCTGCGCTTCCATGATGGGCATGGCAATATCGGTACTGCTCACTATGCTACAACGGTCGTTTTTGTGCCAAGGGCACAGCACGATTTGGCCGACATCGCATGGCAATGCCCCTGTTGCGACATGATTGTTCTTCGTGCTGATGCGTCATCCTGTTCTAAGGAAACCTGGCAAAAGCTTTTGGATGGGCACCGTCAGGACAAGCACCCCAGACTATCGGTCAAGAAATGGCAACGCAAGCTTCAGGCTGCCAGGCGGAGTGATCCTGCCTATAAGCAGCGACTTCGTGTTAGCCACTTGAATCGATCATCCGCTCGCAATTGCATGGAACAGGCTAAGGGGGGAAGGACGTTGCGAATTGCTCCAGATTTCTCTGGCCCCGTCGAGCTAGAGGCTGACGACGAGATCGAGGATGGCGACATGGTGGTTGAGGCCGCTCGAGTGCAACGGCGACGACGACCGTGACGTCAAGGCGCTTCCTTCTGAACGCATTGCCAAGTTCGGTCCCGTTGACATCGCCGAGTTAATCTTGGCTAAGCCGAAGGATGCCGAGATTCCAGCCGAGCCCCTCGAGGACATGGAGGCCGATGCTGGGGTTGAGGTGGGCCAGAAACGCAGACAGCCTGAGCAGGGTGGTCAGATCGAAAAGAAGGGCGAGCCGACAGAGTTGGCTCCGAAGCGGGCTTCGAAATCTGTTGTACTTCCTGAGGGAGCTGTTGCACCCCAACCCCAGGGTCTTTTCCATTACTTGGCTGAGGTGCTCTCTTCCATACATCAGAAGCGGCGGGCGGGGCACCGGGCGCCGAGGGCCAGCATTGCTACGTGGATGTTTTTTGAGCCCCACTGGGACCACCTTGCTCCGGATGGATCGGTGGCTAGGATTTCCTTTCTCGACTATTGCAAGCTGATGCGGGCTGCCGGTGTCTGGGCAGGTTGGCTGGAATTGTACGCGGCCGGGGTGGCACAGGACTTGAACATCCTTCTCCTGTGCCCCGACCACATGGTTAAGTTTCCTGCTCGCAACGAACAGGGACACTTCGCGGTCTTCAAGTTTGAGTGTGGCCTCACTACGAAGTTGCTACAATGCCGGAGGCGACCATCGCTCAACTTTGGTTGGCCGCTGAGACGGCCAAGCCAGTTGGTGGACGTGGAGGCGGGGCCCGGTCTGTGATCTCGAGCCTGCACCTTTCTGATTTCGATGGTGATAGCACTAGTGGCGGGCCCGGGGGAGGCCGCTCCGGTGTTTCCAGCTTGCACCTCTCTGAGTTCAGCTGCAAGACAAATGCCAGCCGCGGCCCTTCGAGTTTGCACCTATCGGCTGTTTCTGCCCGCGCAAACGCAAGGACTGGGGCATCTTCAAGTCGTGCTCAAGGCGGCTGGCAAAATGCAGGGCAAGTCAGGTGGGCCTGACATAGCCAGCCCCAAAACCTAAACCTTCAAACTTTTCTGGCTTGTTCCGAGTTGCGAGAGCGTAAACCTTCAAACTTTGCAGCTCCAAACCCTGAAACCCTAAGCGCTGACCTCTAAAGCCCCAAACCCTGAAACCCTGCCCCCCAAACCCGAAAATTGAAACTCTAAAGCCCCAATCCCTGAAGCCCTAGGCACTGA